CTTGGGCTTTTGCATCGAGTTCGAGCCTTTCGCCCTTCGCTACAGCCCTCCGCGCGACTTCAGTCCAACTTTCGGGTTTCGTCTCACGATTATTTCTGGTCGCCAAATGTGCGCACCCTGCACAAGAACGAACGCGAGGTTTTGCCGCATTGCACCGTTTGTACAGAGCAGCAGGTTTTTGCGAATCCGATTTAGCTGCCGCTGCCAAGCCTATCCGTCAATATTTGCACACCTCTTCATTGTGGTAAAATCCGGTGCCGCCCTGACACCTGTGCTTACGTCTCACGTTTCACATCCTGCTGAACGTCTCACCTCTCCCATCCACACTTTATTTTACCCGATGTCGGTGTATTGCTTTTTCAGCTGGCTCACCCTCAAACTCGTTTCCATTTATACCTTGGGCCTTATTCGACGCTTCGCGATGGCTTCTTCGTCTCCTACAACTTCAATCCCGATTCAAGAACCAGTGTTTCTTCAATTTCTTCATGATGTTCACCATGCTTACCTCCTACTACATCGAGCAATGGCGTTACTTCCACCTACTCTTATCCCCAATATTGAACCTACACCTCTTCCCAGCACAGACGTATGGAATCAACCCGATGGGCTGCGACCGCACTACTCGTACCGGACCAATGCCTTTATTGACACTGCCCACATCCCTTCGCCGGATATAGCTGAGGAAGAGGCACTTATGGATGAACTTTTGGAAACCCATCTTCCTGAACCACATCACCACGTTGCTGCCCCGTCACCTGAAGCCCTCCCTGCACCCTCGAAGCTTTCAACCACCACACCATCACCTCCGAATCGCAAACAGAAAGCCAAAGCAGCCCCCAAAGTACCTGCAAAACGTCGTCGCCGACTTGACAAATCCAGATCCCGTTCCTCGAGCCCATTGTCAATCTGGACCTTTGAAGACAAACAGAAACTTCGTACTTTGAAGGCGGACGAGAAGTCTCGATTTTCGTGGCGGGTGATCTCGACCAAGATGGGCAAATCGGAGGAAGACGTTCGCTCTATGTGGAATAAGATCAAAGACAGACTTGGCTGACCACCGGCGACGCGCAAACAAGAAAAAGATGTCCCGCGGCACCGTGTAACAATTTCAATACCCAAACTCCTGTGTATCTATTCTTCTTGACGTCAAGGTATTGCTTTACCTCGAACTATACTTTTTCACTATCACAACCCTTTTGGCATGGTTGCTCGACTCAAACCTTGAACTTCCACATTATACACACCGCCAGCCGTTTACTATGTCTCTCCGCATTCACCTGGATCGATATTGCCAACAGCGAGCTATGGCCCACGACAGTATCTCTCCTACCCGACGATCACGCTCTCCAACCAGGGCACCGTCTTCCGCTATGGGTTCTTCGCCTTTTCAGCACCCACCCGACCGGACATCTCCGCCTTCTACACCCCATCGACCGGTTATTTTCCAATTGGACCTGAAACCTATGCAGCAATTGGCCGCCAGAAACCCATATTACAACATCCTGGCCCCCAAGGTCGCGGGCAACCTCTCCACTGAAGCATATGACAGCCTGTTCCAGACTTTCAAGGTGATCTACCCTGACTACGCCCGCAGTCATTTCGTTTCAGACCTAAAAACAGTGGTCACGGACACGCTTCTACAGAGATGGTCGATACACCTACAGGCGACGGATTTCTACATGATGATCGACACCGATCAAGGAGCTCAGATGCTTGATGACCTCCCTCATTCTCTCCTGGACATTTTGAACTGGTTCTACCCGTCATGGAAAACTCATCAACATCTAGATGCCTTCACGTCCCGTGATTGTTCACCTTTGTTGCTGACACCCCATCCAGATCCACAAGACACGGGCTTCGCTGTCCATCTTCAAGTGATTCCTCGAGGGCATCCATTCGTCACTGCCACCCGATACACTAAGACTGCCGCGTGACTAGCCTTTTGAGATATAACCTTGATTCGCTCACGTCTGGAAAATAGGGAAAAGCACAGGTCGTGAAGTCCTCCGCCTTGATATTGACCTTCCTTTTTTGTATCCCTTGTTTCTCATGTCTCCCATATTGTGCTTCTCGTGGTTGTTTATTTCAATATGGACGTCTTCCAACGGAATTTCGGCTTCAGTTCAGTTCGTTTCGATATCATATTACTGCTTCTGTACATGACGACCTCCGCCACTGATGATGCTGCTCGGCTGGTTTCAACCCGCTCCTCACCTACATCAGTACATGGCCCAGACCCACATCTCCCACCTGATGATCCTACTTCAGCATCGTATATTCCCAGGGCAGCTAGAATGATTCCAACCTCTACAACCGTTCATTCCGTATTCATCAAGAAGCTGAGCTATCCCTTGTCTTCTCGTCCTGATGAACTGATGAACTTTGGATCGTGGAAAGGACACTAGATGGTATTGAAACGTGGAAGCCAGTGGAAACGTTTTTGGAGAACATGCACCTCACCAGTGATCGTGCCACCCTACGCACTACGGCTAATCATTGGCGCCAGTACTATGATGTACCCATCCAATCATCCTCCTCCTCTACGGCAACTTCCGTTCCTGTTCTCCCACATCCTGAACACACCAATGTCTACGTTTCTCAACCGTACGAAGCGATACCGGACCAGCTTCACATTTTACAATCATGCTGGGGACGTTCGGCTCAACACCATTCACAAGGTACCACTACTTCTTTATCTTGGCCACCATGGAGATCTACACCACCTTCTTCACCATCGGCAACATTTCACCGGACCTTACATTCCAATTACCCTACCGCACCTGCTCACCATATACATTGTCCACTGGATGCGAACGACCCTGGCCCGATGGATATGTCTGACTCCAGTGTGTAACACACCACATCATTTTGCGGAATGAAAAAAGAACAGTGACTAAACGTCGATTCGTGACTATTCACTAAGTACACCGTCTTCTTCTTCCATGTTTTGCTTGTGGGCTTTATTTTTTGATCACTATAGTATTCTTATGTCGCAGCCTGGGCTCCACGCTTGATACTCGACGCCATGGCTCATTCTTCTCGCCCTCACCCATATCGCGCTACATCCAGGGTTGATACACCACAAGGTCCCCGAACTGCTGCATGGCTTGCCGGACACCGATGCCTTCCTGGTGATGTGGACCCTCCTCCATACAGACCTGTTCTGATTTTCGTTGACTACTCTCCTTTACAGGGATTGACACCGTAGTGAACCTGACCGTGATCTCTACATGGCTCTTGCCAATTCAAATTTCAAGAATGTTAGTGCAGGCGAACGTGAAGCTCTTTTTACCTGGTCACGCCAGCTGGAACCAATTGAAGCAGGCATTCTTCCCATTCGAGACCTACGTACCGCCATCACAACAAGATTGAGGACCCAATGGGACATCCATTTTGACCCTTCGAATTTGGAGTTTCGCTATTGCGATCTGGAAGGTGATGCATTCCAAGTTCCCAATGATTGGACTGTCATGCAGCTTTTGGAAGAATACCGTCCTGACTGGCGAATCCGGCAGTACAACAACATCGATCCCACTTTGCTCGTACCAGGTACCTCACAGCCTTTCGTGCTACGTCTGAGATGCCATAAAGTTAGCCCTGGAGTTATCCTACCCTGATGTGCTTCACTGGTGAACAGGAAAATGCCCGACTTGTTCTTTTCCTTTCATCCATGACACTTTATTGACACGGCGGACTCTTTGGAATTTCGCCTCTCGATTCATTTCCACCACTTTAGGTTCCGTGCATTGCTCTTTCCGTGGATTCAGAACAATTGGATTGACCATTGGATATTACTACTATTATTATTCTCGGGCTCGGCTTATTTATATTTTCCTGATTCCTCAGCCTTTGGTTTTGCCATTTAACGCATTTTCTGACCGTCTCACCCATGGAGCGTAAACGTGACGCTACCGTGGCGGGCTTGGTTTGGCCTTCGAATCCCAACCGTGGACTCGCTTCCACAGCCCTTGATCCAGTGTCAGATGGCCAGGCTTCTGAACTATGTCACTCTATCGCCCCTGACCCTACGACCTCGACCACCTCGGCACCTTCGGCAGCTGACACTACAACCAACGACATCGGAACCACGCCCCACACCGATACATACTCAGGCCCTGCACTTCCTGATGTTCCTTTCCCGACTGAGCCAAGTCCTACCTACAACTTCTTCCATCGTGCTCACTTCTCATCACGCGTGGTCCACCAGATCCACTTCAAGATCATTACCCACTCCAACAATACCAGGGAGTTATTCATCGAAGAGATCCCCATGTCGGGGCTCTCCAAATGTCGTGATCCCGAGCACTACTTTTATGGTCTTTCGGGCAATTGGGAGTGGTCCCTGCGCACTGCGGATTATTGGCGCCATCACTTTGAGATTCCTCTAGTACATGGGCACCATCCTTTTCACAATGTTCCCATTGAGACCACTTCTCCTACGGAGGCAACCCGCTTAACTACGAAGATCCAGGAGCTGGCCAAACAACTTTCAGCCACTTTGACGGCCGCTATGGCATCTGGGGAAATCAACGACACGTGGAGGATGGTTGAAGGCATGAGCTTCCGTGACGCGATCCAAATACTTCAACTCGAAGCGAATTTCCCTTCTGAGTGAATGACCGCGGCTATGTACACTAGCACCGTGTAGCCTTATTGGATTTGATTGGTTCTGCCGACATCAGCCGCGATGTTCTTCCAAAATAATCAAACCCCGCTACATGCGGGGTGTGTGTGTGTGTAACATCTGAACAGATGTAAAACTTCTTTTGTTCTAATCTTCTCACATTTGCAGGGGGCCAGGAACCCATGACTGTCTGTCCTGGCCAACGAAGACCAGACAGCATGGGGGTGAAAACGTACCTGCGATTTTTTGAACTGTTGAACAAGCTGTCGTATTCATTATTTTGCAATCATTGCGTGTGAATGGCGAGGGGCTAAGCCAAGTACCCCAACACCATGATTTTATTTCTCCACGGTTGCCACAATCTGTATTTTATGCATCAGAACCTTCCTCAGTTTTTCGCCGAAACCATGTCGCCGACGGTATTTTTGATTTTCTGGATTATCTCGCCGATACCATGTCGCCGATGTATTTGGATTATTTTGTCAAAACCACGTCGCCGATATATAATTTTTTGATGACGATCTTGGCCATGGAAACCATTCAGGAGAACTTCCATTATTCGTAGGGTGCATCGTTAATTTCGTTGGTTCGTATCTAATCTGCATGTTTCAGGATTCAGTTCCTGCCGGATCATATAATGATCGATTCTTATCTAGTGTGTGTGTGTGTTTCGGGCTTCATATCTCCCGGAATGAGTGTTTTGGAACATTCATGTCAAGACCCCAAGTTTGGATGCTTTGGATGTTAAAACATATGGTTTTTGCAGGCTTGTCTTCAGAATCAATCCAGTGAATACGAAATTTCAGGTGTGTATCCATCCAGGTCTTCCCTCCTGTGGGTGTCTTGTAGGTCGCTTCGGTGAGCCGCAAGATCCGCGGCGCTCGGATTTGAGCGTCACTGGGCCACTGCAGGATTTCCCTCCTGCCGCAGGTGGTGGAAACAATGGAAAAGCACCAGAAATAATGCGGTAACGGAAGCCTAATCGTAAACCCATCATTTTTGGTGCTTAATAGACCATCATCAATTACATTTAATTACTACCCATTTCTGGTGATAATTGGGGATTATTATTGGGTTAATTACATTGGGTTTGTCGCATTAAAGGAAAATAGAAACATCATTGGCCAATTACTTTGTTGAAGCTCTGTCTTTTTTGCTGCTTCAGCAGCTTCAGCGAGTGTTTCTTGGTTGTGGTGCCATAAAGCTGCACCTGTCTCGTCCTGGCATATGAAATCAAGTCTTCAACATTCTTCAACTGAATATGCAGAATATACAGTAGTCACAGAAGTCACATTGAAACAAAGATGATCTATGATGCCCATCTACTTAGCACGTGACTGGAGGAAAAAAAAAAAGTATGCCAAATTCTTACTTCAGCTATCTCCAGCTCTAGCTCATACAGCTAGTTGTTTATCATTTCCATTGGCTTCCAGGTGAAGCTATGCCAACTGGAATGCTCTCAGCTGTCCAGCTGCGTGGGTATTTCACATGACGGCGGGGTGCTGCAGGGAGAGTGATCCTACCCTCCGGTAAAATTGTGAGAATCATGAGATAATCATGGGATAATACTGGGACCATCATGGGATACTCATGGAAGATGGGTATAAATACAAACCGGTGTCATCAAACATGGCGATTGCACGGAAATCCCCGAACTAAATGGGAATTTTAGGATGGGAAAATCACCGAACTAATTAACTGAATCTAAATGAGGGGTGTTCCATTGCCACGAGTGATGAAGGGTAATGGTGCAGCTGATGTTCAGAGATCCTACCCCATTCGCCATTCTTTGCCAAGGGAAAATGCCAAAACCTGAAAATGTGTCCAAACAAATATGTGAATGGGCTTGTCATTGGTTTTCAGATATGCTTCTGCTGTCAATCTTTATTTGGATCCATGGACCCCACCAGCCAATGGAGGTTCTGATTGCGATCTTTGGACCTCTGACTGCGACTTTGGTGCTTTGGGTGCTGGAAACTATTCGCTGATGATACTTGGCCGGAAACCTTCGCGTAGGTCGTTCCTTGATCTCAAGAGATGGTGGCTGATTGATCCACTGGCTTCCTGATCTGCTGCGAAAATGGAGAACATATTTTGTGTATGTATAGATATACTACACAAAAATAGGCGTACAATAATAATATGTTTTGTTATAAAAATGATTATATATGTATATTGTATGTGTGTGTGATAGCTGATAGTTCATGATCTAGATTACAACTGCCAGAAACAATCATCTGGCGCGAGTACGGCGCGCGGGCGCGCGCGCGCCCTCCGAGGTCCAAAGGTTGCTTCAGAACTGAAATCCAGTCCCTTGGTCCCAAGGAGTTGGGAAATATTGGGAAGGGAATATGAATCCCAAAGTTCTTTGGCTAATTCTACATGATTTTTGAAAACCGGAAACCCATGAAAACCCCTATATTTGGAGGAAGAACCCTGGTTTCCCGTAACTTTGCCTCTATATAAACAAACCACTGAATTAAGGAGAAGATGGTTGAAATGACCCGAACCAAGAGGGCTATGACGATTTTGAACCAAGAATGGGGTGTGCGATATGTGTAATCCTACTAGCGGTCTAGCAAGGAGGGTATGACGATCTCTTGAACGCATAGTGTGTCCTTCACCTGCACAGGTAGAGCGGATGAAAATCAAATGGAATGAATGAGGGGAAGAATAAAGATATTTCCTGCCATTCATGCGATTCATGGTGCATCTTAACTGATTTAACTGTGTTCGAATGAAGAACCTCTATGAAAAAGGATAGAAAAAGGCACCAGATAGAATCTCCAGTCCAGACCTGCCCAGGTCCCCATCGTCCAAAGCGTGGCATGGGGGGTTGTCCCGGGGTGACCGTCCATGGATGTCGGACTGGCCGCCCTGGCCCAATTGTACTGAATCTTCGCTACCCACTGCGAAGTAGGTGACGGAAATAAGCAAACCCATACCCATGTACAGGCTAATTGTTCTTTATCTATCCTTATCTACCGTATCAATACATACATGCACACAGACACAAACACACACACACACACATCCATAGTTATGTATATGTACACATATCGATGCCTACGCACACATCCTTATGTGTATATGTATAGTTCTATGAGGTCATATGCATGTATATATATATATATAGATCTTCAACAACTGCCCAACCACGGACCTTCAACTCGTCAGGCTCGTTAGGATCAGACTCCTGTTGACTGGTGGGTGGCTGTGATGCTTGTTGGTTGGGTCCAATGGTAGATTTCCTGATCTTGAAAAATTAATCATGAACGTGCAGATGCAGTAAACAACTTCCACATGCATTTTAAAAAACATATCCTGAGTCAATTTGACATATATAGCTATTAAACATCACCATTTTGAATAGGTAAATCATAGAACTAAATGGTCGTATATGGTCATCTATCCCATAGCTATGGTATATGAAACCACCAATCAATCGCTGTTGGTAACTGCTGGCATGCCTGCTCCTTGAAGCGGATGGTGATGTCCTCAACGGAGTTCTCCTATGCCGCTGCGGCTTCAGAAAAGTGTTTCAAAGGTGGACAGCACGAAAAATGTATTCCTACTGTGTATACACATACGCATATATATATATGTATGTGTATAACACATGTACACTATACATCACTATATCTATATATATACACACTTTGTTCATTTTTTTACCCCCTCTCTCTCTCTATATATATATGATGCAGTAGTATACACCCAACAGCCAAATACTGTTAAAGGCATCGGCCAAAGACAGATGTGACATGGATTGAACGCTGCCATCCTGGCGACAGAAAGTCACATCCATCTGCTGGCCATCACCCTTGGCCAAGCAATCGCACAGCCTAGGTCTGGATCCGGTAGGGAGTCGTGAAATGCATTGAAAACTGCCGTGTTAAGATGATGCTTGGGGACACAAAGATGCACATAAGAACGCGCATTTCCGCATGAGTGTGCTTAAATATAATATATATATATATACATACACAGTATATACATATCATATCATATCATATCATATGATACGATTGTGTATGTATATATATAGTTATACGTATGCATATTGTAAACATAATGAAGGCTTGTTTCTCAGAGGGCCATTCAGCAATGTATTCAATCCAGACTGTCCTGCGCGTGTGGCCTTGGATTATCCACCCCCATGCCGAAGGCACCATGAAGGTCTGGTCATCGGTGGCAAAGACTCCTGCTGAAAAGGTCGAATCTGGAGGTGGTGGTCCCAGTGTTGGCAATGAGTTGGTACTTATGGCAACCATGGTTAAGCAGCAATAATTGACACTAACCATGAAAAGGTCAAAGTTGAAATCATGGCAATGATGGTTAGTAACTCTCAGTATATCCAGTTTGATTTGGAAACAACTTCGGACTTCTTGGTGAACATAGTGATCATAGTGAGGATTCCAACAACAATAATGGCTCATGTTGGGATGTCACCTACCATGGGCCAATGGATACCCGCTTTTGGATGCTTTTGGGGTTTTTGCTTTTCTCATATACCCCGGATACTGGATTCCTTCATGCCTCATAACTTGGTGTGCCAACGCAAACCTGTGACTTCCTCAGATTTTCAATGGCACACTGGTTGACAGGTCCTTGCGGTCTTTCAGCATGCGTGCTCCTTAGGGTAGCTGCGAGGAACATTGAGCAACCCACCTCCAAATTCAACTAAGTGTTTTTTTTGAAGCCTTTTCTGGACCAGCGATATGACTCTGCAAGTCAGAAACTTGATCAATCTTAATGCGTCATGTCTAGGTCCAACACAAATCACTACCAACTGGAATAACTCTTCACTCATGACCATATTTTCAACCAACAAGGTCATCTTGGACCGACCATGCAAAAACGTGCCTAGTGACACTTTCCTCAGGCGGAGCACCGAGGACAGTGCGGCCCTGAATATGTCAAGGCTCGATTGGCTGGATCCTCAAACAAATAGGCGGGCAATCTGGGAGGTGATGCGGTGTAGTAGCCTGGCTCAGTTGAGAAAAGCCCTGGGAAGAACAACTTGAATCAACTTGAACTAACATGATAGACTGCTAGATATGGCATATAGTCTGATTGATGGGATATATATATACTGTGACATATGCCCCCTCAATCAACATCATTGAACAGTTTTGCCACTGTTCACTTGGCTTTCGTGTCTGAACATCTTAGTCTTAAATCAAAACCCGGCAGTGGACATGATGCGAAACAATATTTAGATATTTGATATTCGATCATAGAACATATTGAGCTATCCAAAAAGACTTAGTTACCCCGACGTTTGCCTTCTTCACTTTTATAATCAAAACATATTAGAACAAAGGCCAGGAGAGGCTTCTCACCATATGGATTTGGTCCCGGTTGCGCCTGGGAACCCGAAGAAATGGATCGCAGGCACTGCCTGGCGGTGCCATGGCTCTCACCTATTCATCTTGAAAGGCTCCCCAGGGTCCTCAATCCTGTCCCCATCCCATAGGGATCCCATGGGGATCCCATGGATACCATGGATACCATGGGGATACCATGGCCATCATTGGCCATCCCCCCAAGGTGACCAAGGTGACCAATCCCAACTAAGGTGCCAGGAATGAGGCGTCGCCAAAGAGATTTGAATTGTGTTCCATCTTGGATGGTGTCACCAGTAACTTCCGGGCACGGCATCGCCTCACATGGCTCAGATGGGACCGGTGGGACCTAAAAATGATTGGGGGGTGATGACCTGGGATGATGAATGTGAACATATGCATTGTACTGCATTGCAGAAACAATCAAATATAATTACGTATATGCGGTGTGTGTGTGTATGTAAATTTATATATATATATATATATGTATATGTACTACAATCTACAGAATATTAAATTTCACGAGCTCCTGGGATTTTGTGATTTTTAGGGAATATTGGATATCAAGGTCAAGATGCAATATTTGGTGCAGTGTACGCGCACAAGGGTGGCACCAAAAAACTTAAGCGTCATGGTTTGCACGGGTTTGCACTGGATCAGCCTTCCATAAATGGAAGTGGTCCAATTAATCGTTCAGAAAAAATGAAACGGTCGGAAACAGTCGGAAACGGTCGGAAACGGTCGGAAACATGATCAGGCAAAAACTTGTTCAACTCGCATTTTTTTTTAAATAAGCATTTCCGCGCAACGCCGTTTTTTTTTTGAAGGTCCAAAGGTGTCCAAGGGGAAACGGTTGGAAACAGTCGGAGATCGCACCTTCGCTCGGCAAAAAAGACATGTTTTTACACAATTTGCAAACATATTTTTACACTGCACCAAATATTGCATCTTGACCTTGATATCCAATATTCCCTAAAAAACACAAAATCCCAGGAGCTCGTGAAATTTAATACTACAGATGCGCATGTAGATACACAATGACACACATGTGTATATATGCAGCGTAAGCACTGCAATTATGTATAACGTCTGTATGCATATGTAGGAACAACTATGTACCGACTGTTCATGTTAATGCATGCGGGCAAAAGGCAAAAGGAAGTACACCTCACAGTAAAGGCGTGCAGCTTTGGGCACTTGTGGTCACATTTGCATGCAATCTCATGGGTCAGCTTTTCCGATTCTCCCCAATCATTTGTCCTAAACTCATTGCAACACCGTTTCCCCCATCAATTGGGCAAGTTGCTTGAAGAGTTTCAGCGAATGCTCTGCTGGGATCAAGCTATCAGCTTCACCATGGATAAACAGCGTGGAACATGAGACGTTTGCAATGATCCTGTCAGCTGGACGGGCTTGGTTGGGGGTGTGACCGAGCACAATTGGCCAACAATGGGAAGCATCACAGCATCAAACAGCCCAGGAAACAAAACAACTTGGGCATCTTTACGTGTCATTGCTGATGATCAATCAACTCCTTGTGCAATCTCAGCAACTTCCATGACAAATTTCGCATGTATTGACATCCTTTCTTTCCTTTATCATCATCTGTCAGACCTGCTTCCAACAAACACAGGACCAACAAATCCAGCAAACAAATTCCAAACCTTCCCAAAACATCCACAATCCTCATTCCAACCAATGTCATCTCATCTCATCCCATCCCATTCTATCCCCATTTAATCCCATTCTATCCCCGTGAATTATATATATCCCCAGTATGATCATCCTTCTTCCCATGGGATCAAAAATCATCACCCAGTTATCCCATCCCATCTGCCATCATTTTCTTCGCAGAAAATCCTCTACCTTTGATCCTGAATTCCACCATTTTCAGCTTCATCCATTTCTCATCAATTTCTCCCATCCACTTCCCCCCAAAAACAAATTGAACGTCAAAACCATCGGACATGTTCTCATCCCCATCTCCATCCCAACTCATCTTCCCAACTCATCTTCCATCAGCTCGCCGCCAGGCCCGTCAGGTCCGCGCCTGCTGTTGGGAAAGCGCTCGGTGAATGTCCAGGCCAAGACGCGTCCTACGATGCTCTGCACCGCCGCCTTGATGCTACTGAAGGCCGAGACCAGGATCAGGCCGCCCACCTGGTGGGGTGGAACATGCCTGGAACCAAACTGGAGGGCATATGGGGATATGGTGACATGGCATATAATATGATTATATATAATGTAGTATCCTGATTAGTGTGAGGCCCCCCCTAAACATTTTTTTGAGTCTCTTTAGTGTAGAAATTTTCAAGCTCACGGGTCTGAATAGTGTGGAATTTATAGATTTCAATTGATTTTCATTTGATTTCAATTTACTTTCAATTGATTTTCAATTGATTTTCAATTGATTTCAATTTACTTTCAATTGATTTTCAATTGATTTCAATTGATTTTCAATGGATTTCAATTGATTTCAATTTACTTTCAATTTACTTTCAATTGATTTCAGTTGATTTTCAATTGATTTCAATTTACTTTCAATTGACTTCAATTTGATTTCAATTGATTTCAATTGATTTTAATTTGATTTTCAATTGATTTTCACATGTTTTCAATTGATTTTCAATTGATTTCAATTTACTTTCAATTGAAACTAATCAAGACAATAAAAGAAAAGAGCTTTGGCAAAGGAAAAGGACAAAAGGAATGATTGATTTTTTTCACCTCAGGCAGCAGCTGGACACATAAGAGGACCACCACAACAAACATACTATTAAGGATCAGGGTTGCTCATGGACTACTCCCTTGAAAAATTGTTTGAGTGCTGTTTTTTAATTTGGTTTTAAAAAGGCATTGCGGCATTATATGTATATATATATATTGGGAAATTGGGCATTTCTAAGAATTTCAAAAGAATGGAACTAAGAAAGTAAAAGAACAAACTTTAGCAAAGGACAAGGATAATTTGATTTTTTTTCACCTCAGGCAGCAGCTGGACACAATAGAGGACCACCACAACAAACATACTATTGAGGATCAGGGTTGCTCATGGACTACTTCCTTGAAAAATTGTTTGAATGCTTTTTTTAATTGGGTTTTAATAATGCATCCTATATAATCAATTAATTATTGCTGATGGCTGATAATTAACCTTAATAAATTGTTTCTTCAAACAACAGTTGGACACAATAGAGGACCACCACAACAAACATATTATTTAGGATCAATATTGCTCATGAAAACCAACTGAAAAAAGGAAAGAACAAATTCTTCAGACAACAGCTGGACACAATAGAGCACCACCACAACAAACATATTATTTCGGATCAATATTGCTCAAGAAAAAAACTGAAACATATTAAGCAAAAACTGTTTTTTTTTTAAACTAAATAAAGATAAAAATAAACAACATAAAAATTGAAATAAAATTAAACAACAAATAAACACAATAAAACAATTCAAAAATGAAAAAACAATACTGTAAACTTTCCACAAAAAAACTTTCCACAAAACCGACCCACCCAATTATTTACCGTGATCCTGAATTATTTTGGGATCACTTGTCACTAAACCGACCCACCACACTAATCAGGATACAACATTATGTATATATGCATATATATATATACATGTGTAAGTGCTTGTTTTTTTGCAAACTATAGACCTGATATATTCATCTTGGAAGGTTGTGGAAATGGCTGAAGAAGGCACTTGGCCAAAAAAAAGTTAATGAAAGTTCAAATCACAAGAGGCCACACCAGGCTCCCAGCTAAGTGCTGCCAAGGGTGCAGGGTATTGCGCAGCCAAGAATACCTGACGGCCAGGGCGTCACAAGCCGCTCTTCTTTTTCATGGGGATTTGACACCCCCAGATGATATTGTAGAATATTGTAGATGGTTAATACATGTTTACAAGGTCTTTTAGTGGTTCATGCATCTTTAATCGTCAATTTTATTGGGGTCACTTTTGGGGTGGTGAAGACTTGACTTATGATTCAATATGTCCATCTCCCCAAAATACGGTAGAATTAGCCTCCGCTCATCAAACGTGGCTGGCTGGAAACTCCACCTGTTCCAGATGATTTTCCCTTTCTACAGTATATAAAACCTACACTGTAGGGGGGTTCCTACAATGGGGTACCCCAAATCATCCATTTGAATAGGATTTTCCATTACCCTCTGGTAATTTAACGTAGCTATTGAAAATTGCCATTTATAGTGGATTTTCCCATTAAAAATGGTGATTTTCCATAGCTATGTTAGTTTACCAGAGGGTATAAACCATCCATTCTGGCAGCCAGCCCCATAGAAATGGAACCCCGCTATCCAGATGCTCTTCCGAGGAACCGCTGGGCCGCTCCCTAAGGATCTGCCAAAGAGAATGATCTGCGAATATCTCACGCCAATCTCCTAAGGCAACTGGACATGGAGATAGGGATTGGCAATCATAAAAATGAGTAATAGTAATAGTAATAGATTGGCAATGTATGGAGATCCAATGTAATGGTAATTCATCAAGATCTATTGGATGATAGGGATTGGCAACTCTATCTGGTTGGTGGTTTCAACCCCTCTGAAAAATATCTGGTCAATGGGAAGGATGATCCCATATATTATGGAAAATAAAAAATGTTTAAAACCACCAACCAGCTGTATAGCTTTGATGAGTTTCGATATTGTCACCCTGGGAGGAAAAAACATAAAACAAACAACCCATGGTGTCTCGGTTGTGCCGATGGATCATCCCCTAAAACTCTAGTTCAACATAGAACATAATTATTAATGATGCTACCGGCCAGCAACATATTGCAAAATATACAGTTTTTTTAAATCATATCATAATGATATCATCATAATAAAGAATCTAATTATATATATATATGAATAAATCAAAATATAGCCAAACATATGACAAAATCATACACTTATCACATATGCCAAACATCAAGCCATCAACCGCTGGCGACTCACCTCTCCGAGGCACATCCACCAGGAATCGGAAGGTGGTCAGTGCCACTTCGTACACTGCATCCTCCGAGGGCTCCATGGCATGTAGAAGGCCATATCCTCGGAGATCTGGTGCAATATCACTGCTAGTAGATACAGTAGATATACAAATCAATGGATATCGGATATTATCCAAATCACTGGTATATATATAATTATATAGATCTGGTACAATATCACTGGTAGTAGATATACAAATCAATGGATATGATCCAAATCAATGGTATATATATATATGTATATCTGATACAATATCACTGGGGGATCAGATCCAAAATGTAACATACATTTTTCATTTCTGCTGGTCTTTTTTTTGCAAAACAATCATGCAGAATCATGGGTCATCTGGTAAGAACATGTACTACAATTTAAGTTTATCTGATTAAAAACATATATATAATTCACTATAATCAGGTAAAAAAATGTAAGACATGTTAAGCCCAAAAACATGTTTTGTATTTTTTTGTCCCCCTTTTAAGGGACCAAAAAAAACTTGTTTTCCAATGAGATCATCTCCTGGGATCGACACCTATCCAAGTGTCCGGGGTACTCAGCTGCCAGCACGTTCACCTGTGGATCACAAGTGCATCGGTGCTATTGGGATCTTTTGGGGAATGATATAATAATAGTATATTTAATGATATTTATATATCTAAAAGGTCTCGGCTCCTCGGGTACCCCCCGTCAGCTGTTGAACTTAGCGGGTTTGTGCGATACCCGCGGGCTGGTTGTGTGCTGCTGCCACATTCCTGCCTTTGCGAGCACACTCTTTCGGTTTGCCTTGCGGCTGCGGCGCTGCTCGTGGCATTGTGCTCTCCCAGGGTTCCTGGTGATCACCTCGCTTTGCCCGTGTACTTCCTGGCCGCTTCGGTGTATGTGCAAGGCACTTCCGATCTTCCTTATCCTCTTTTTGATCCTGCTCAAGGTGAATTACGACTTCCTTTGCGCAGAAGAGATCACAGAGGCGCGCCAGAGCCAAGGCACGTTTGCAGTGGTTCCTACATACGAGAGGCTTTCAGCGTTTGTCTGTGAAACAGCTGGCACGGATTTACACCATCTTGTCAGCACATCACAGTCAAGACCCTTCTTTTCTGCACCGCATTCAGAGAGAGATGGCGTCCGTGAAAGCCCCACCATGGAGATGCCGCGCATGTCTCAAGACCTTGAAAGGACAGATGCCAAGGTGTGCATGGTGCGGTGGTCATTGGCAACAGTGCTACGATCCCGATTTTGTTCCTGGAGAAGCTCAAAGATCGAAGTCGCTGCCACGAGCGTATCAAGACTCGTCGGCTGCAGTGCCATGGAACTATCAACAACCTCAGCATTCTCAAGCGGACTGGGGTCACAATGCAGGACAAGGTCGAGGTCATGGATCAGGCCGCAGTCCTCGACAAAGATCGAGGCGATACCGTCGTGGCAATCATGGGCAGCATCAACAGTATTCTGCCCAAGTACAGCAAGCCCCGCTACCAGCTCCTGCTCCTATGATGCACAAGGGCGATGGCAAAGGGCAGACCTCTATGAAAGGCTCTGGTGTGAGCGCTGTGCTGGTCCCTCCGCCGCCCCCACCTATTATTGTACCTGCTCCTCAAGGATATGGAAATGCAAATGCACCCCAAGTAGCTCCACCACCAGATGGGATTTGGGGTCCACAGATCGTTGCACAAGACACTTCCTTGTATGCTCCCTCACCGGCAGCTCCTTCAGATGCCGAAGTACGTCTGAAATCACTGCTGCGAGAATTGAAGAAGGCTCCGGAAGAGTCTCTTCCAGCAGGGTTACAGGAAGAAGTGAAAAAGCAAGCAGCTCGAGAAGAAGAATTGACAACCAAAGGGTTACACCGAGCTGTGGACAAAGTCAAGAAAGCCAAAAAGGCTGTATCAGCTGCTACCTCCCTCTGCCAGGGTAAAATTGATGACAGACTGGAGAATTTTTCTGCAACAGAGTGTGACCACTTGGCAGGAATACACCACGATGTTTCAAACACAAGCGCAGGCGATGCAGGAGAACTTGGACAATGCCCTCGAAGCTCTGGTGGCAGCCAAGCGCAACTTCCACGAGCAATCGGCACAGTTGAAGGAGAACGACACCGAGACCATCTCCGACGACGACAAGGAGCCGCAAGACTCCGAGATGACCTTGCAGCTCGAAAACTCCAAGCGCATCCACGAAGGCCTGACGACTGTTGTGACCAGTCTTCAAGACCTGACAGAGAAAGCAGAGATAGAAGAGCAAAAGGCAAAACGGCAGCGCAAGGCTCCAGATCCCACCGACGACGAGGTTGGCGAGCTTTCCGGTTCTTCGCTTCCGTCCATGCAGCCTTTTGGGGTGCCCGGCAACAAGTGACGAATGCGTACTGTTGCTGTGGGCCAACCCCCTCATCAGCTGATGTAGCTATGATGAATTGGCAGCACTCCATAGTTGATGAACCAGATTTCAAAGCACCATGGACTGCTCTGAACAATGCCATCCAATTGGCCCATGAGGTTGGGACCTCTGCGGCTCTGACTGCTGAAACATTTCAGGTTGGCAAAACGCACAGATGCCAACGTCATGTTCAGTTTGCAGAAGATGTTCATCTTGTCATTGACCATGAGGACACGCACAGTAGGTTCTCAGTGTCTCTGTCAGAAGATTCCCTCTTTGGTTGGCGCACCAAACCTTGGGCTTTAGACCCTCATACCCATGCATATCAGAAATCATCCCTTGACTTTCATGATGATCCATGTTCTACGGTTGTGTTGATCTCGAAAGCCTGTGGCATTGATACAGATTCAGTTTCATTTATGCAATTGAACGTCCCGCAGATGACGTGTCGACGTGAACCTGACGGTCATGCTAGGTTGACTTTGCCAGACACTCACATTGATGCTCTGCCTGTTGACGTTCCGATTTTTCAAGAACAAAATCATGCAGGGATTGGTGATGCTCCAGAGGTGCATGTTCCCGATGATCACTCTTCTGTGAGCTCCTCATCCCATATTTTACAACGAGTTTGCATCTACCATTTGGATGATCCCCCAGTGTTTGGTAGCATTGATTGGTCTGATTACCACTTGATGATGCATGAGGCTGCACGACTCCTGCGTATTGATGGTGATGACTTATTAAGTCTCATTGATATTGCTTCTCCTCTGCATGACCTTCCCAGTGATGTGGTTCCTCTGATTGCACATCTCGTTGGTGACCTTGACCCAGGTGAACCACGCGTGTTAGCGCTGGCAGATTTGGAGATCCATGCTAATGCACATGAAGCTCATTATCATACAGCACCAGTTGTTGATCGAGCCGTGTATGCATTCCCACAAATCGCCGATAGACGCAGCGTTTTTCAGACTGTTGATGTGGCCACTTATTGTCAGATTGAAGGGCAGCGTTGCCTTTTGTACTGTAATCGTCAAGCAGTCGTCACAATTGGCAACCCCCGATTTCCAATCCGACCAGGTGACTATGTTAAGGTTGTAATTCCTCCACCTGAAACATGTGGCTGGTCCACTCAGCGTTTGTTGCAATTTTACCGGCAAAGTGATGATGCACAAGAACAACACTCCTCTGTTGCCTCCTCACGCTCCGGTTATTCTCCAAGCCTTGTACCTTCTGAAGACTTGAGACATGAGTTTGGTTTACCCTCATCTGATGATGTGACTCTGTTGCAGACAGCTGTGGTGACTTCACACCATTCCTGCACTCAGAACCATGAACGATCCTCTGTGCCTGACGATTTTGGATGTGATGGCTGCAATAGTACTGACATACGGGTTGTTTCATCAGCATTGTCTTCGCATGTGCGGTCATTGAACCATCCGCGTATCGATCAGATGAGTTTCACAGAGGCCTTCCTTCGTGCGGTCAGAGTCTTGCAGGAAACAGCTGATGCCATTCAAGATCAAAACATTGCTGCGCCGGACATTGAGACGTATGCACCGTGGGTGCAAGACGTTCATGAACTTTGGACGAGGTTAGCTGTTTTGGGACCAGGTGGCGCAGAGATTTTGGGCCGCTTGGAAACCTGGTACACCGATCATGATTCATACCAACGCTGCTACAATTCCCGTATAGCAGTCTTGGCAGATGATTATGAAAACTGGGAGACGCAGCTGAAGCTCCTCTGGAGGGATCGCATCAGATCTGATGAGCCCATTGAGTGCTTCTTGATCTATCCACCCCCAGATGATCGTGCTGAGCAAACTATCGGTCAGATGATGATACTTCAAAGAGCAGCTGCCTTCCAACGCTCAGTTCTTATGTCGGTGTATGACAGCGAGTACGACCAAGGAAGGGCACATTCACACGCCCTGGTGATGGGTGACCGTATCGACATCCAATCGGTGACCACCATGATTCAAGCTGGTGAAGATTGTCCGCCTGATCAACCACGCAATATCTGTTCTCTTTGGTTCGGTACACGGCAATTTCATCCTCACGAACGTGCTTTTGCACGGCATGGCCATGCGTTTCGGTTTCTGATTCATCGCCGCTCACCTGACGCTCCAGCTGATCCTCTTGCTAGTGATAGTGATGATTTCCGTCAGCGATTGAGAGCTATGATTGGTGATGCCCCTCCTAGTCCTCGCATTGAATACATGATTTCGGCTCCCAATTGGATTCACATGCTTCAGCGCACTTTCGATTCTTTCGCTGTCACTGAACGTGAAGATGAAGGCCCAGTTGCATATGTTGCTGCATGGTACGTGAACTGCCATCGACAACCTCGGTGCCAACCGCATCGAACTGTGCGTTTGCGGTCTGACATCTCTGCATGGCAGCGCACACTCATGGAAGCGTGGCGTGATCGTCTTGATATGCGCCTGCGTACTGAGCTGTATTGGGTTGACCCAGCACCACCCAACCCGCCAACACAGAATCTGATTGGCCATGTGCTCATAGTGCAAGAGCCCCGCAGAGAGCACGTTGTGGTGCTTTTGTCCGGTGTTGCTCACCTGGGCTATCAGGATGATATTCATCACTCTGCGGTATGCATTCATGAGCGACAAACCGCTTCATCCATTGTTGACATTCTTCCTGTACCATCGCATCTGCGTAGTTTCAACTTTCATGTTGGCATTGGACCTCGAGAATTTCTTCGTGATGACTCATATCGCCTTGAAAATGGCGACAACATCGTGATTGCTATTGAGGTTGAGGTCCCTGTACGTGCAGATTTGCATCCTCGATCAGAACCTGCTGAGACTGACGAGACCAACCTGCTGCAAAAACCTCCGATGCCTCGAACGGTATGTACTGCAGATGATCATGGTTTCGTTGATCCACCAGTCAGCCAGAAAGGTGAAGTGCTTCAGCTTGCCACTTTACTTCCATCCCCAGTATGGACTGTGGTCAACTGTCAAAGCATTGCAGATTTGCGACAAAGGCTTACGACTTTTCCAGCTCCACAAGTTTGCTTTGACCTGCGAGCGACGAAATGTACTCAAGTGACGATTGATGCTCTGCAGGTCACACCTTTCTGGACCTATGAGTATCCGCTTGCTTTTGAATTCTACACTGATGGTGCCTTTAGCCGTGCATGTGGCTCGGCAGCCGCAGGAGTAGTTTTGATTGTTCACACTTCACAGGGCACACGTTTTGGAGGTTATTTGACATCACTGTGTGCAGCAACTGCCTCAGCCCCACGTGCAGAAGCATCGGCTGTGATATTAGCCATTCACTGGGCATGCTACCTTGCTTTGACCCTAGGTTTTTCTCCCACGCCGGTGTCTTTCCTGTATGATAACATTTATGCTGGACGGGCTGCTCAGGGACGTTGTGCCACCACCCTCAATAGTGATTTGACTCTTGTTGCTCGCGCTTTGACTTTATGGTTAGAGCAACTTTCGTTCTGCCGTGTCAGCTGGGATCATGTTAAGGGGCATTCTGGTCACCCTTGGAATGATTTGGCCGATTCAGTTGCATCCACTGCTTTGAAGTCAAGCTCTGTCACCACCGACCTTTCAGCACTTCTCCAATGTTGTTTGCATGAAGGGTCTGACCAATGTGCACTTTCATGGCTTTGGCTTTACGAAAAATCCGTTCGAGGGGATGGTGATGCGCCAGTTCTGCACAAACATCAATGGAAGTTTAATGCGGCTGCCCCGCTTGCGCATTTGCCTGATTTCCAAGCTCAGCCCTTTGAACGAAGACGTGTAAGACACCAAGGCACACAAATGTCAGCTGAACAGATTTGCTTGCGATTTGCCACAGCTAATGTTCTTACCTTGTATCCTCAACAAGATCATGGTGGGTCGTTTCTGGGGGCGCGTGCTGAACAGCTCGCCATACAGTTCTTGTCAGCTGGATTGCATTGCATTGGTCTTCAGGAAACGAGATGTGGTTATTCTGGGCATCAGACATTTGAATCATTCCATGTCTTATCGTCTAGTGCCACAGCTCGAGGACATGGTGGTGTCCAGTTCTGGATTGCCAATCAGATCAACATAGCCCACAAAACCCTGAAGGTGTCCCATGAACATTTGCGTATCATTCATGGTGACGATAGGCGCCTCATTGTCCATTTGCGTCATCCTCAACTTGCACTTCTTTTTCTTGTTCTTCATGCTCCTTGTAGTGATGATGAAGTTGAACTCCAACGTTGGTGGGCTCAGACAAGCAATCTGATTCCCAATGGTTACACTTCGTGGACCTGGGCTGTGCTATGTGACTCCAATGGCCGTTTGGGTTCTGTGGTCTCCAATTCTGTAGGAGCTTGTGGTGCCGAAGATGAGAATATGAGAGGTGCTGTTTTTCATGAATGGCTCATTCAACATGGTTTATACGTGCCTCAGACCTTTGAAGATGCTCACATTGGATCACATGCCACATGGACCCATGCTGAAGGAGCTCAAGGACGCATTGATTACATTGCTCTCTCTGACAATCTGCGTTCAGATGGTGTATGCACGTGGGTTTCAGAGGACGTTGACCTTTCGCTTGCTAGACCAGATCATTCCTGTTTGTGTGCTGACGTCTGGATGCTGACAGATCGATCTGTGGCCTCGGATCAGTGTGATGTTCCAGTGACGTCTTCGCACCACACCATTACATGGAACAGTGATGTGCACACACACGCATCTTACCTTCAGGTCAATTTGCAGCACTATTTTGGTCACAATCCAAAACAGCATTTGCGCAAGAAGCACCTCACTGATGAAACGTGTGCTTTGATTCAACGGAAGAAGAGCCTCTTTCGCTCTTTGCAATGTGCCAAAGCGGCTGCTAGAACCGTGCGTCTGCAAGTGTGTTTTCGTAGCTGGAAAAAATGTGACTCGAAATCCATCAATTTGCCCACTAGCACTTTTCGTGCTGATTGTGAGCTTGCTATTTCAGCAGAGAAATATCGCATGGCATCTCTGCGTGTGTGTCACGCAGTGCGCACAGACGATCGACGTTTCTTTGATGACCTTGCTGAACAAACTGGCAGTGTTGCTTCTCAAGGCTTTCACCGTATTTGGGATGCAATTAAGCCACTGCTTCCCCGTGCTAAAAACAAGCGCAAAAGCAACATCCGTTGCTCTGGCCCGTCAGTTGAACAACAAGCCACACATTTCTGTCGTCTCGAGGCAGGTTATGAAACTGACTATGCCCGCCTGTTAGCAGAGTGCCATGCTCACCAGCAACTGCAGCTTGATGAACAACCTCTTGAGTTATCGCTTCAGCAAATGCCCTCTCGTCTTGATGTTGAGAACACTTTGCAGCGCCTGTCAGCACACAAAGCACCAGGCATTGATGGTATCACACCTGGCAGCCTCCGTGCGGCAGGACCTGACATCTCAGAGTCATTGTTGCAGCTGATCATGAAAATGTGGCTCGTAGGAGCTGAGCCCATACAATTTAAGGGCGGATTGCTTTGCGCAATCGCGAAAAAATCACAAAGCCGAGAGGTGGCAAACATGCGCGGCATCATGATCATTGATGTTGTAGGCAAACTGGCCCACTCTCTTTTGAGGCAACGCTTTCTCCCCGCCCTTCTGAGTTGGAGAATGCCGCTGCAGTTAGGGGGCTTCCCCGGCTGCTCAACCTTGTATGCCACTCACTATCTCAGATCCTTTCATGCAAAAGCACGAGACTGCCAGCTGCCTTCTGCTGTCTTGTTTTTAGATGTTAAAAGTGCATTTCATAGCATGATTCGACAGATTCTGTTTGGCTCTGGTCATGAGTTGCCGATTCATCTTCAGAAGCTTCTTGAGGAGAGTGGATGCAACCTAGAGCATTTGCGACATGAAATTGAACGGACTTCAAGTTTGCTTCATCATGATGTTCCCCTGGCTGACCGTAGACTTCTCCAGGATGCGCATGTGTACACATGGTTTGGATTGTCGGGCACTGATGCTGCTTTTTGCACCTCACGAGGGAGCCGACCAGGCAGCCCACTAGCTGACGTTGCATTTAACGCAGTTATGGTACATGTTCTCCGTGATTTGCATTCAAGGTTGCAGGAGATGCCTGCCATGCAATGTGGATTTTCAATGCTTGGTTTGTGGGCACCGCCCATTGCTTGGGTCGACGATGTTGCGATACCCATAGTGGCCCCTCAGTGTGATACTTTGGAAGCATCCGTTGCCCAAGTTGCTCACACCACTCATGAAGTTTTTCTAACATATGGATTGGGACTCAATTTCAAAGCCAAGAAAACAGAGGTTGTCCTTTCGTTTCGATCTGCCACGGCACCAGCCCACCGCCATGCACTGTTTGTCGAACGCCTTGGACAGATACCCCTACCCAATCTTGGCATGCATTTGCGATGTGTTGCATCATATGAGCACTTAGGCACGGTTTTTGCTGCAGATTGCACGCTTCAAAAAGAGATTTCCCATCGCAAACACCGAGCCATTCAGGCCTTTCGTCAGGTTGGCAAGTCCATCCTCAAGAATCGGCATGTTAGCATTGGCACCAGATTGAAACTTTTTGAAAGTCTCATTATTCCGGTACTTCTCCATGGCTCAGGTAATTGGGATTTACTGTCGCGTCGATCCTTTCAAGTGTTACATTCATGCATCATGGGTTGGCAAAGAATGATTGTAAATGATGGATGCTGGTCGGAGGACCAACACACCGATTTTGCCCTTCAGTGTGAATGGAAATTGCCACCTCTGGCTTTGCGGTTGGTGAAAGCCAGGCTCCTTTACGCCTTCCAGTGTGCAACCAATGGTCCACAACTTCTCCATGATTTTTTGACCTCCGTTGCTCATTTGCCGCATGGATGGTTTGCTGCACTGCGACAGGCGCTTACCTGGCTTGCCTCTATGGATTCAACCTTTTGCCCCGTTGATCTTGCTACAGCTTCTATTGAACAAATTTGGACTTGGTTTGGAGCACATTGTTCCAACGGGCCTTCTGTTGTTCGACGTTTGTTCAAACAATGTTTGATGCAGTTTCATGTGGTTGGTGATGTAGTTGCCCTGCACAAACAATTGAAAGAGGCTTTGCAACATGGAGGTGTCAAGTTTGAGACATCCTTTGCACCTTCGCAGTTTCCTACTGATACGGTATTTCCATGCGATTGGTGTGAGGCGCAGTTTGACATGAAACAGAAACTTGTGGCACACATGTGGACCGCCCATCAACTCATTTCTGATGAGCGGCAGTTTGTCTTTTCGGATACGTGTTTAGCATGCCATAAATGTTTTTGGTCTGCTGCTCGCCTCCAGCAACATTTACGACTTTCACGTAGTACCCTAGATGGCTGCTACGCCCAGTTGACGTGGCGTTATGCTCCACTTCGTGAGGCATGTCACATTGAGGTTCCCATTGATTTGCGAGGGTTTTCCCGTCTTCCAGCGCAGACAGTTCCTATGCCACAGATTGCACCTATTGATCTGCAGCTTTTGACTCGCGAGCATGCAGAAGCTGCGTTGCAAAGGGCATGGACGGCAGAAGGTTTTCCTAATCACCTGCCAGATGACGTGAAATCCTCTTTTTGGGCACGTGCAGATGCTGCACTACGCTCATGGAAGCCAGATGGGAGTTTGAATGTCGATCAGTTGATTTTTGATTTAACATCCATGGCGTTAACTGCAGAGGAGGAATGGGCCCTATTCTTGTGGTGTCGTCTAGCTCTTTGTTATCGTCGGTTTTTGCATTTGACTCCAACGGTTTTTCAGAGGGTGAAAATGGAGATTCAGGAGATCGTCTTTGAATCGCCCATTGGCAAGCTCTTGGCCTGGCATGTGCGTATCACGACGGCGTACCAACCCAGGGATGAGGCAGTAGCCGCGACGTCCGCAACTCTGCCACGCAGCCTTGAACCTCTTCTACATCCAGTTCAGAATCAACAGGCTTCTCTGCAACATATTCTTTGCTCCATTACACAGGTACCAGAACCTCTTCCCGTGCCCATCACCTGGGAGAATGGACAACCCATTATTTGGGTGCTGCATCTCTTTAGTGGACGAAGGCGCCGTGGTGACTGTCACTTTTGGAGCGAATGTTGCACAGGAGTGTTGCCGGGATATACAGTACGCATCCTCTCTGTCGATACCGCAATTGATGCTGAGCTGGGGAATCTGGATCGAGGGCCTGTGTTCACAAGATTGCTTGCCATCATCCGCAAACGGTGGTTTGCCGCAGGTCTCACAGGCCCGCCCTGTGAAACATTCAGCGCAGCTAGGCATATCGCATTGGAAGGATGTCGTCATCCTCGTCCTCTTCGGTCGGCTACATGTCCGTGGTTGCTTGAGGGCCGCTCCTCTAGAGAGCTTTTTCAAACATTGATTGGTTCGCGCCTCTTCATGCACTCCATCATTGCCGAGGTCTCTCTCGTGTTGGCCGGTGCTGGCTCCCTGATGGAGCATCCCGCCGAACATCCAGATGAAGAACGGGCATCGGTATGGCGCACACAGTGCCATAGTGAGTGGGTCATGAAGCTCCCGGACGCCTGGCAGCACCGAATTGAACAATGGCAGTATGGTGCGATTGGCGTCAAGCCTACAACGCTACGTGCGCTGAATATGGGTCCACCTCATATCGTGCATCAGGTGTTGCAAACCAATCGTGATCCGCTTGCGCTTCGTCCTTGCAATCCTCTTCGCGGACGCACTGACGACGGCTCATTCCGGACGGCTGCGGCCAAGGAGTACCCAGTCGGACTGTGTAGGACGCTTGTTTTGGCCACTTTGGAAAGTCTTAAATATAAGATATCCCACTGTGGCACCTGCACAGCTGCCGACCTCTCTGATTCTGAGAGTGCTTGGCTGAATTCACTGTACACAAAGGCATGCAATGCCAGTCTTTCAGGAAGATTTCTTCCGGATTTTCAAGGCTGAGCAATTAGGTGCATTGTCGCACGAGCGAGACTCAGAAGCGAGTGAATGGAAATTATATATCTAAATTGTTCTAAATTATTGCATACTTATAAAAATGTATCAATATATAACACGATAGGACCAGCACTGGTATAATCATACCATCTGACATCATTAACTTGCACGAGTGAAGGAACATCTTCTACACTTCCCCAGCCGCAACGGTGAATGAAAAAGACTGGCAGGAGACGACGCTTGTAGATCAAAATGATATCGAACTTGCTTGGCAAAAATCTCACTATTCCTGGGGTCAATCAAACATGTGCAAATAGTAAATGTCGAGCAAAAAAAACGGTACATAATCATAGGAACAGCTTATAAATGCAGCTCGTGAATGGTGATTTCATGTCCTAATAACACATTATAACACGACAAACATCGATTCCTAAAGCATCTAAAGCTAACATGGTTTCATCGCGTTTGATCCCGTTTCATCTCACGCCATGTCCTACCTTGAACTGATCACGTATGTGACGCAGCACGGCAAAGGACATGCCAAGGTCTTCCTGGATGTGGGTCATCAGTGAACCCGGGGCTGGGCACAGCAAAAACAGGGATTTCACCTGCATAAAGTGGGGAGTTCACCCAGCAAGGATGGTGATTAACCATGATTCACCATGATTCACCTAGTAAATCGGGAACTAGTGAGAACATGTGAGAACTAATGGTTGCTTTCTGTGGGTGATTGGTGGGTTATATCTCCATGCAGTGCTGTTCCCGGGATTCGGATGGATTTTCTATGATTTTCTGACCAGCAACTTCAGCTGACGAAGATCACACACCAACAATTGATGGGAACCCGTCAGCCACCCTTCAGCCATCTTGGCGCAATGCTCGATCCTATGTGTCCAGCAGCTGCCCCAATAAAGTAGAGAGGCAATGCCAAGAAAGCGTGGCATATGACTATAAGGACCGTGTTTGACCTAGCACCCCTCATTGTACAACACATAGCTGGTGTCCCTAGGGATAATGACAAGAGATGGAAACTACCATCTGGTAGCTTGACATAGCTATCGAAAATGACCCATTATACCCATTCATAAATGCTGCACCTATTTGTACCTATTTCTTGAAAACGGTGATTTCCCATCTGCAGCTTGGCATCGGCATTGGCATGGAAGAACAGGATCACAGTGGCAGCCTTTGGCGCTGGGAACCACAGGCAGGGAATGCCGCTGCTATTGGCCTCCGTACCTCGGCGAAAAAAACACCTGGTTGCATCTGCTGTTTGTTGATGGAGCTTCAACATGAAAAACCCTTGGTTGCTCCAATTGTTATGGTTGGACGCCTGGTTGATGCAATGGTGCCTCTATTTGAATGTCAACTCAGGTCTTGGGTCTTCAGCAATCGCCCGGAGGTGGTTAACAGCTGCAGGAACCACCCTCCATGCGTCAAAGCATGTAACAAATGTGGTGAATCAAGAATATCTACTGTAGTTGACCCCTCCAAACGATTCCAAAAGTGAGTTCCCTGGGTCATTGAGATCATTCTATTCTCTTCAACCCAGGTGCCCACGCGATTCGGTGAGATGACGCTGTTCCATGGGATCCAGCATAAATTCCTCGGTCGCACAGGAATCCTCCATGATAGGGGCCTAATTTCTTTCAAGTCCACCGGAATTCCATTCAAACCAGGGAACTCTGTTCATCATGAGCATCGCAAATATTCGCAAGCGGAACAGGGGTTCACGCTCGCTTACAGCTACTCCATCAAGTTTCGAGGTAGGGAGGTGCATCTCACTCTCAGAAAGTGCCTGTCCCTACCACACTAGCACAGGAAGGAGCCTGACAGGGGAAGCACGAACAAAAAGGATCCCTTCACAATGAGATCTCCAGCTGCCGAGGCTCCTCTTGTAGGATTGCTGTCCATAGGATGGTTGTGGCGCCGGGAAGACGAATCGATTTCCCAGATTTCCAAGCATCCGCCTGTGACCAGCTGATCCCAGGAGGGTCCTTGGGCCCTTGCTCAACAAAGGGGGGATTGGTGATTGGTAGCTGCATGTAGCTACCATTTTACAAGGTAATTGTGGGTCTTGAAGGAGGACAACAATTTTACATCGTGGAGCTGTTGCTACTCCAGGCACTCACCTTTCCAGCATTTTCAAGCAACAACCCGCCAACCAACATGGGAATGAGCAATGACTTATGAGTCCATATGCGAATGCATCGAATGACTTTACACCAGTTCATCGTACATATTTTATCCTCATCATGCAATTCCTATGCGGTTTACGACAGCACTCAAGATTTGGAAACAAGTGCTCCCAAGTTACTTAGGATAATTCCAAAATTTGAACATCTCAAAGCACAGCTCCTGAAGACAAAGAACACAACCCAATCGCAACATTCATACAGTATCTTTTTGAACCGGGTTGCCCTAGATGCAAAACACAACCTACTCGCAAGGGTTTTCACCAAACACAGAACCAAAGACCCAACAAAACCGTGCAATTCCCCCTCGTTTTATCACGTTTTATCTATATATATATCCTATAATATATATATATATCCTATAATATATATATATATGTATATATCATATATATCCTATAATATATATATATATCCTATAATATATATATATGTATATATCATATATATCCTATAATATATATATATATATATATATGTATATATCATATATATCCTATAATATATATATATGTATATATCATATATATCCTATAATATATATATGTATATATCATATATATCCTATAATATATATACTATATATATATATACTATAATATATATATATATATCCTATAATATATATATGTATATATCATATATATCCTATAATATATAATATATATATACTATAATATATATATATATCCTATAATATATATATATAATATATCCTATAATATATATATATCCTATAATATATATATATATATATATCATATATATCCTATATAATATATATATATATCCTATAATATATATTATATATATGTACATATACAAATCATCTATAAATTTTCTCTATATACTCCAAGCCATTTGGCATCTACCCCAGCCTTGACCTGCGCCCGGTTGCAGCTCCCGGCCTTTACCCGGCCGCGGACGGCAGGTGCCGTGCAGCCGAGCACAGGACATGCTGGGCTGAGCCAAAGAACTGCCGTTCACCGGTCGAATCGAAAGACCCAGTGAAGCATGGAGAAAGCTTGAGATATCTTGAGATATCTTGAGATATCTTGAGCTGGAACTGTCATAGAATTGGATTATGGGAAAATTTTAACCGGAAAGCCCTATATTTGATGGTAAAAACCATGGTTTCCTGTAAATTTTCCCTTAAACCAATCCAGTGAAACTGATGGAACTATGACATACTGCATACTGTTGGATACTTTTAAGAACACGGTCAACATCTGAACATTGCAAGGGTTTCCCGGAATGGAAGTGTGCCAAATACTTTTAAAAGGAGTCCCAACTGTGAGACTTGAAGAGATAATGTTGACCTATGATTTATAAATGGCCCTTGAATAAAGCTAAATTTTTCCCAAAATAAATAATAAATGCCCCCTAAATAAAGCTAAATTTTTTTGGCCCTAAAAGATTTGCCCAGATGGGGCTGATTTTTTTTTTTCCATGCTTTATTTGAGGTGGCTTTCATGTACTAATTCATATTGCCAGCTCATTAGATCTTACCTTGATAACTTCAAATTTTCAAAAATAATGGTTGCTCTTTTCTATTCAAAACCTTTATTCAAAATTATCCAAAATCAATCCCAAATCAACTCGTCAAGGGTACCCCCCATGAGGTGCCTTGGCACTAATTAGAGTTTGACCCTGAATAAAGCTAATTGTTTTTGGCCCTAAACCCAGATTTGCCCAGATGGGGCTGATTTTGTTTTTTCCATGCTTTATTTGAGGTGGCTTTCATGTACTAATTCATATTGCCAGCTCATTAGATCTTACCTTGATAACTTCAAATTTTCAAAAATAATGGTTGCTCTTTTCTATTCAAAACCTTTATTCAAAATTATCCAAAATCAATCCCAAATCAACTCGTCAAGGGTACCCCCCATGAGGTGCCTTGGCACTAATTAGAGTTTGACCCTGAATAAAGCTAATTGTTTTTGGCCCTAAACCCAGATTTGCCCAGATCCATGACATGAATACTGAATCAATACTAAATCCATGACATGAATACGAGATCAATACTAAATCCATGACATGAGTACTAGATCAATACTAAATCCATAACATGAATACTAAATCAATACTAAATTCATGATATGAATACTAGATCAATACTGAATCCATAACATGAATACTAAATCAATACTAAATCCATGACATGAATACGAGATCAATACTAAATCCATGACATGAATACTAAATCAATACTAAATTCATGATATGAATACTAGATCAATACTGAATCCATGACATGAATACGAGATCAATACTAAATCCATGACATGAATACTAAATCAATACTAAATTCATGACATGAATACTAAATCAATACTAAATCCATGACATGAATACTAAATCAATACTAAATCCATGACATGAATACTAAATCAATACTAAATCCATGACATGAGTACTAGATCAATACTAAAACAATTGCTGGATTCCTTTTTTTTTTGAAATTGCATTTTTATGTATTCGTTTTCAATTGTGGTAATTTAAAACCTTTACATACAAACAAGTTTTATGGTGGCCTTAAGTCTATTTAGGGTCAGAGAGGGGGGGGGGCCCCCCTATTTATAAATCAAGGGCAGACATTATGTTTTCAAACCCGGGCTCATCTTCTACAAGTATATATTAATCTCATATAGTTTTCTGACCGGATGCACCGCCGCGTTTCCTTCCATATCCTCTCCGAAATTTGGCAAACTTGATTCGATATTGATTCGATCATGTTAGGAAACTCAATTCCTAGCTCCTTGGAAGCCTTGGCAGCTCCTTGGCTCTCCGCTTAAGGAAGCTACCCACCGAAGCACCGAGCAAGGCTCGTTCCAAGACTTCCGCCACGCTGTCGGGATCCCCTGCTTGTGCATATGCAGCGACCACCTCAATGGATTGAAATCCGATCCCCCATTGATACCCTGATATCAACTGAATTTCAACTGATATCTGTTGATAGTTGATGATCGATGATTTGATGATTTTGATGGTACTTCTTGCAACTTCATGCAAAGTTTTCGACCGGACTTTCCCATACAATGGTAGAACCAAGTCACAGTGTTGTACGAAATGAGATTCGGCTCAAACTTCTGTCGCCTCAACTGACGAGGCCCAGTTGAAACAGTCTGATGGGTCAAACTTTGGGACACCGTTAGTTCTCTATGTAAAACTCAGAAAAATTCCTCCAATGGCACAAAGCATCCAACTGAGGACTTGATTGGTCTTGGAAACTGAGACCATGCCCAAATGACCCGGCACCGGTCTGGTCCTTGATGGCTTAACTGTTACTCCTGAAAAATCAAGGCACTGCATAGTCTCCAACCATTCCAAGGCTGCAGCTGGATCATGGTCTCAGCGATGGCAGTATTGCAGCTTCAACATGATTGGTCTTCGGTTGGCGCGGGCTCGTTGTGGTCATTATCATTACCCTCTGGTAATTTAACATAGCTATTGCAAATCACCATTTATAGTGGATTTTCCCATTAAAAATGGTGATTGTCCATAGTTATGTTAGTTTACCAGAGGGTATACAGATACACACATCTTCTTCTTCTGCTGCTTCTGATCCTCGTTCTTCTTCTCTGTCGTCTTGTTGTTGCTGTTGGGAAGCTGAGAAGCCTTTGCTTTCGTTGTATAGTTTGTCATCTTTCTTAGGATTAGCTTCCAATGCAGATGGTACTACCATACTCTGAAGCGACACTAGCACTCCAAACCAGGCGGATCCAAAATTACAAAACAGCTCCAAGTCGCTTCGCGCATGGCCCTTTATCACGGTATTGTAGGACACCACATCCGGCCTTGGTGTGGGTGGCGCAAATGTTTCTGTTCTAACACCCTGGTGATTTTTTTTTGGATGGCGCTGTCTTATATTTCTTCACCGAATCAAGGATCTATGCAAAAACACAAGAGTTTCAAACTGGAAAAAGCATGTTGGTGCACACTTGACTCCTGTAGTGCAACATGAAATATATGTATAAAACACAGGAATGGTTTATCTTAGTGTGACAACATCTTACAACCAATCTGTTTGCGGAAACGAAGGCTGCAACCTGCTGACCAGGCACTGGATATTCCGCTGCTCCTCAGATCACATCCCAAGGGGGACCAGATTTTCTTTATTGGACGGAGGTTCAATGAGGTTTAAAAAACGAGAGTTGCACCCAACGACCAGCGCATGAGAAACCATGAGAAACCATGAGAAACCATGAGAAACCATGAGAAACAATGAGAAACCGAAAACACTACAAATCAAAAGGCCTGACATGTGGGATCTGCGCAAGCACAATCACAAGTTCGCAAGAAGGATAGGTCCATTTCCAATAGGATAATAATAATAGTAATATATATATATATATATATGGATAGTCAAATCTAGAAAAGGATGCACATGGATCTCCTCTAAACAGCTCTAAACCGGTTTAACCCATGCCCCATTTCTATTGACCACGGACCGGCACCAGTCTTCACCGGTTGAGTTTCCATGTTGTGCAGCCACTGCATCGCCTTTGCCGCGTCTCCACGGCTAGCATAGGCCGAGAGCACGGCGTTGCCAGCGATGAGATCGGCCTGGAGATCCGCTGATAAAAGGCGCTCGAACCAAAGCACCTGGGAGCCGCAGGAAGGCGATTGGACCATTCTGAACCAAAAATGGAAAGGATCGAGAAAGGGTAAAGCATGGTACCCTCTGGTAATTTAACGTAGCTATTGAAAATGGCCATTAATAGTGGATTTTCCCATTAAAAATGGTGATTTTCCATAGCTATGTTAGTTTACCAGAGGGTAAAGCCATGTCAGATCCGAATTATCATTGCCTCAGTGCAGTGAATCGAACACCACAAATGCCGACAGCGGAACTGCTTGATCCACATCACCTTCACGTGCAAAGCCATCGATGATGGTGGTGTAAGAGACGTTGCCTCGGAAATATTGGGTTCATCTTTGGCCGCATCCAGGAAAATTTGGGACCCCAAAGCCACGGGCTTTCTTACTGCACTCTGACAAATTAAATACGAAGTCATGGGATTTTGTGCTTTGGGCTCACATTCTGCTAGTCTCCAGTGCCACGGGCTGTCCTACTCTGATAGCACACGTAGCTGCACTTTAGTGACCCAACAGCTTTGGCTTTGGACATGCCATGCATGAGGAGTTTCACCCTGACGCTCTGCCAACCAGCCCCTGCCGGAAGTGGCCTGATTCATCAGAAGAACAAAACATCAACCCCCCCAAAACAATGAACGTACTACTATAAGATCTGTAAGCCGTTTAAACTCAAAAATCTCTGGAAGATGACTTTCATCTTCCATCATGGGATACATGGGTGACATCGCTGGGGAAAGATGAGCTGAGATGCTGGGCTTGATGTCGTTGGCTTCCATGCATTCCAGCCACTGGGCAGCCCGCTGGGAGTTCTGGCTCTTGGCGTAGCCGTTCAACAAGGCCTTTACGGCGAAAGGAACACAGATCCCATGATGCACTCATGCGGAGAGTGTCAAATGAGTCGTATGTGTCATGAAGATCGATCGTTGAAATTGGTCTTGTGATCATGGTGATGATGACCAATGATGAGGAAGCAAGAAAGGCATCGATAATGATGACGAAAACAAACAGTGCTACAACACCCTTCCACTCGTCTGGATTGACACATACATAAACATACCGTCCGGCAATTACTTCCACTTCGCCATGCTAGTTTGATGGTCCACCCATAGATTCCAGATGTTTTACATTGATTTACCCATATTTACCCATTAACACGGTGATCTTCCAAGCACCAAGGCCCGGCCAAGGTGCATTGTATGTTGCTTCCACCGGCTCTAAGGCCTCAAAATCAACGAGGCAATGGGGAAATAAAATGACATAAAGTTAAATGAGGCAAAAGAAGGGGTTGGATCATTGATACCTGCTGGACCCGTGGGATTCCTGGCTGCTAAGTTACGTCTGCTTCGTTCAAGGTAGTGAAAACATGTTGACACATCAGCGAGTCAAACAGTCAATGCGATTTACGGGGATCATCTTAGGTAAAGTATATATTAATAATTAATTTAAAGTTTCAACATGTTTCTTAATTAAACATTCTGACATATATAACCAAGGCCGGTTGAACCCCTTTGATGCTTTTGATGGCGGACCTGCAGCCCTAGACTCACATTGAATCTCCTCGTTGGCCAAGTCCCATGTCACAATTCATGCTCTCAAAAAAAGATAAACGATGCATTTTGTTACTTACCCTCCGGTACTTTAACACAGCCATGGAACATGTTTATACAATTAGTTCAAAACATGTTTTTTTTTGGGGGATGTACCTCATTTTTTTTTTTAAAAAAAACATGTGACTTTCTATAGCCATGTTATCCAACGCGTTCTGCCAGTCGTCCCACTCCGAGCGTCCAATCGGTGCATCTCCCAGAGCCACTCTTCGGCTTCAGCGGTCTCGCCGCGCCGGGCACAGGCGCTGATCATGGTGGTATAAACGAGGACCTCATGTGATCCGCTGGTTAAACATAGGGAAAATCGCCGGAAAACCTGGACATATCTGGAAATGAAGGATTTTTTTCCCTTCAAAAAAAAAACAACCACAACAAATATATATATATATGCGTGTGTATATGGGTTTCCTATAGTGTAAACTTTCACCATCATTATCCAATTCAATTGTGGGAGCTTGAGGAGATCGAAGAAACACATCTGGCGGTACAAGGATCAAATATGGGACAGTATCAGTCTCATCCCTGGAGAGCATCTGGTGATGCGGTGACACCCTAACCTAACGAATAATTGATAATAATTGCCTAAAGAGGTTCATCCAACCATTGGACCCTATAGCATCCTATAGCAATAATCCCATATCGGTGCGCTGCTGTCCATGCCATCCATACATCATCCATACATATCCATACCCCATCACGTCACCATGGCATTTCGATTGCTGAGATGCGTTTGGGCAAACACCATACTCAAGCATTCTCCTGGGCTGGCTACTATGGGAAACATCTCAAACAATGCCAGGCACGCCATTGAAGTTTTGCCTTCATTTGAAAGAATTCAACGGATGGGTTTACAGAAATCCTACAGGAAACCATTGTTTTACCTCAATAAATATAGAGGTGTCCTGTGGGTTTTGCCTTAAAACATCTTAAAACCAACTGTGGGATGATGTACAGTAAACCGTACTGCGTCTGATGCTAACCTCCATCCCAATAGTGGGAACGCGATGACCAGCGGGTCGCCCACTGAAAGAAATCAAGGGGCCCCAGCCATCGCGAGGCCTCTAGCAAGCGACCCTGCTGTGCATATGCGCCAATGACCTTGGGGATGCACAGCTTCCCACACAGTGCCAGAATAGCTGCATAGCTGGAGTGCCTTCCAATCGACGCAGGCATTTGCAGAGAAGTTATATTAATGTTATATATATATATAATGTTATATAAGTTATATAGTCTTTCAAAATGTCCCTGTTGCACAAAAAATGCATTTTCCTTCACCTGTGTGATGGTGGCTACATTAAGCGCCCATGTATCCAAGGTTCAATGTTGAAGGACACCACGTTTGGAGACATCCCACATGCCTGCGTTCGGTTCAAGAAAAACTGTTGAGATGGCAGAAGGCAAATGTCATGGTAGCAAATGGTAGCAATGGGGATGCGATGAGAACGACTACAAGGGCACCCCTTGTCACTGCCACTACAGTACATCCAAATACTACTGCGGCAGTCACCACCATCACAAGTGGAACTAGACTCTAGACATCTACAGGAACCATCTTCATGCTCATCACCCACATCATCTTCATCATCTTCATCATTTTCATCATCTTCAATTCATCTTCATCATCTTCATCATCATCATCATCATCATCTTCAGTCAATCGTCATTGATAAGTTCCTCCCAGAATCGTCACGTCAAGATACGTCAAGTCTGTCACCATGCCTCGATCTTGGAAATCCATCTGTGGACCCCTGGGAGGTCACCTTTCTTGGCACAGCCATCTGCCAGAGAGTTGTAGCTCACCACGTCCCTGGTGCGAGCACGAGATGCGCGTTGGTGAGAACCCGGGCAAATATCATGTGGGAAATGTTGGAACATTCTTTAGACAAATTAGAAGCTAGCAACTAGTAACTGCATGTTTAAATGTACGTAGCAATATAATTTATATAAGATTATATAATGATATATAATGATATAATGATATATAATGATATATAATGATATATAATGATATAGGTTCTTAACCGTGGTAGCTCCTTGGCTCCCCATTTCACAGGGGAATCTATTTGAAATATGCCCATAGCTCCTGAGCTTCCTCTTGGGTAATCAAAGGCAGTGGGCTGGCTCTACTGGGCAACCAGTGGGTCCGGAATCAAACATCAAGCTGCTTCGTAAGTCCAAACTGAACTGCTCTGTTTGGAAGATCAAAGTGGTCTTTGGCAAGCTTTTAAGCCACTCTACAGACTCTACCCATGCCATCATTTGTTCAGTAGGGCCGGTAGGGACAAAATCTCTGGGGACGGGTATTTTAGCTTCTGTCAAGTGGCATCATCGCATCTGCTGGAACATCGCCCTGCACAACTCACCAAGCTCTCTGCAACTACGGTGCTTTGGGTTCCCGGGGACCGTGAGAGTCCTATGGCATCCTGTGACAGCTTTTCAGTCTTGGAAGGATCCAATCTGTATCAATCTGTGTACCTTCTTGGAATGACTATCGATAACTATACAGTTTTGAATGGGTCAAACAAACTTACGGCATTTTTCTTCGAACTCCCTTCTTCGTCGCTTCAAGCTGCGGATGCTGCGGAGCCTTCTTTGACAGGTCCTCCAGAAGTGACCTGGGTGCAACAGCTGCCGCATCCGAGGGGATGAACTATTCTTAAGGGGAGCCTCAAGATGCCAATTTGAATGGGAAAAAATAACCAACATGATGATCATTGATGATCAACAATATTCAACAATGGGATTTATAAGGGCGCCCTAGTTTTAGGCAAACCGTCCAACGGGCAACTGTTCCAAGTGTTTGAAACGGCCCAGTGCATGCGGCATCCTCAACTCTTCAATTCAGCCCCAGGGACAGAATCAATGGCGTGTCATCCACCTGTGCCTGGGATGTCAGCTTGGGGAACCAGGTCCCAAACTGCAAAAAGTAGCACATCATGGATGAGACTTGGTGGAAAGGGGGTTGTTTCTTTTTGATCCTTTTGTGCACTTCATTCTTGGAGCATATTTTTCGATGTCGATGTGGGAGTGTGGATAAAAATTCATAAACATCCCCTACTGTTCTTCCCTTGCAACGGCTGTCCGTGAATCTGCAGATATCTGCAGCCATTGCGATGCAAAGGGCCCAGGCAGCCAGCACGGCAGCTTGGCAATGCCTGCGCTGCTCCAGGGCCATGTCGCTGTGCCAACGCAGTAGCCAACATAGGCTGCGCCAGGGATCCAGCAGGTTGGAACGACAGAAGCTCAGCGCAAGAATACCTCGGCTGGGTGGGGTTGGTAGTTTCAACATCTTTCATCTGATCCCCAAAACAATCGGTCAATTTTTTCCAACTTGGCATGCTGTTGTCACCAACATGTTTACACTTGACGACCTGTTGACACATATCACATATTGGTCAGTTGAGATCATCATCTCAAATAGAAGGGATATGCCGTGAAATAAAGATATAAACAAGATTGAAACCCACTAGCCGGACAGGCAATAATGATGTGAGATGTGAAACCGGCAAATGGGCAAAGGTGCGCCGTAGATCCGGCTCTCTCTCTCTCTGATAGATATTGCAAATTTCCTAGTGGCTTAAGTAGCTTCAGCGAAGTCAGAAGTCAGTCTTGAAAGGGTTGGCCGCAAGTCGTGCCTTCGAAGTATCAGTACACAGGAACCAAGACACTGGGCGACAAGTCCAACGATGTCCAGAGTCCAAAAATGGGAAAAATGTAGGAACCTTTAAACCTGTTTGGCCCTATCATTCGCCATCAACCAACGAAGAGCTGCCATGGTGCTGACAGCCGCGTCATCCACTGGAAGCCCCAAGGATAGCTCCCAGGCAAAGGAGGAGCGGTTACCTGTCCAGTGGGCGCGTTAAAAAGTTTGTATCCTTCGGGTAATCAAACATGATAAACATGGCAATTGGACATCCCCTATGAATGGACATAAATGGAGCAGTTTTAGTGGGAACATCATCCATAAATGCAGGATTTCCATTCCCATGTTTCACTACCGGAGGGACCCATACCCCTGCCAAAAATGGAATCTGTTTTTTTAAAAAGAACATGCTTGCTACGTGGAGAATTTGGGCCCCAACTGTGCCATGTTCCAAAACTTGGCTGAGTTTCCACTAAGAGTGACCGAAGTTTGTATGGTTAGTTGGGTTGGGTGCGGGTTATATAGATGTTCACCCCACGACTATCTCCCAATCTTCCATCTCCATGTTGCCATGTTGCACAGCATCCACCTTGCCACAGCCCCCCCTGGTGGCCTGGTGGCCAAAAGGCCGTCAACCACTTCTCTGCCAAATCTGGACGCTTGGCCAAGGCAGCCGATTCCAACAGCTTTCCGGTGGAACGGGCCTGGGATCTGGGTGTTGTGAACTGTAATCCGAATTGGCGAACTAAGATACGATGGAGTCTTCAATGAGAGTTACTGTCCTGCATTCTTTTCAGGGGTCGCCCTGGTGAACGTTTGATGTCATGCGACAGACCGCATCCCTAGCGAGATAGTGATCCATTCATTTGAGGGATTTTTGGCCCCTTTGCCCCAGAGGTTGCCAATCCCTTGCTGCTTAAAAACATTGCCTTCATGATCCCTTTCTGACTCCGGTTTTTCCGCCACAGAAAGCCACAACACCCACATTGCCATCCCCCCGAATCTCCCTGGCTGCCAAAGCACGTTGAAACTGCAGCGCAAGTCATCTTTCATGACCTGTTTAGACAGGGGCACCATGGGGCACCATGGGACACCTAGGCCTGGCGGATGCCCACCTTGACCCACGAGATGGCACCTTCTGGATCTCCTGCTTTCACGTAGGCCTGGCACAAAAGTTGTCACTGGAGATGTGATATGCTATGTAAGCAGATAGGGCGTATACATGGCATACAGTATAAGTATATATACATTATATATATACACACACACATATATATATATACATTATACACTAGTATCCCCCCATTGCCTTCTATAGCGGTTTGAAGTATACAAGTTTTTCTATGCAATATATACTCTGTATGCGAGCTGCGTAAATGCGGCAAAAAATAACTATAAATATATGCCAAAAATATCCAGAAGGTGCCAATGCAAACATATTTCAATAGCAGGGATGATTGAATAAAATATTGCAATAAACCTGGACTTCAATTGATAACGACGACATGATGAGCGAAGGGTCAAGATCCAGAACTCAGAACCTATACTTGAATTCCCATTGCTGAGTAGTTTATCAGCTTCATGTGGGTTTTGCGGGTGGATTTCGGGGGTTAGTTTCATTATCCTGCTGTCATTTAATGAAAAGTCAAGCATATTCAAGGTTCCAATTGTATCCAATTGTGAAGATGCGGTCCAAACTATCACGGCAGTGATATATTACTGGGCAAATTATAATATTTCACTAACCTGAATTAAGGCCCATTTGGGGATGATTTCCCTTACTAACCATGATTTCCAGTGAGGTCGCAGTGAGGTCGTTATAATTTACCCAGATATATCCTATTTTCAGACTGAGCCATAGGCAGTTGATTCGATGCCGTCCCGCAGCTGCCACCGATCCACCTTTAGGACCGTGTTCGCCAAGGTTCTCCTTAGATGTTCCACCAAATTCTGCTGATCCCTGCCGAATAATCCCTTAGCCCCAATAACCATGGTTTAGTATTGGATCAATTGATTTTGAGGCTCATATGGGGGTATCTATTTAATATTATCTCATAAATTTATATTCGGGGCAAAGAATTCAACCTACTGACGTAATGCAAACTGATTAGCACTCAGCACACTTTTGCATAATTTCAGCTTATTTTTGGTTTCTTTTAGGACAATGTGTGTAATCCAAGAGGTTTTGCTCCTAACATGCAGGAGTCATTGCTCCGCACTCCCAGCCGTCCATGTCCACAGTCCACATGCCACGGCCCTTTTTGGCTTGTTGCTGTCAGGCAAGAGGAGTCGTGGGAGTCGTGTTTCTCAAAGGTGTCTAATCAAACTGCAGAAGGGCATTGAGCACTGTAGTAGATCTAATGGATCCCAAAATAGCCAGATCCCAGAAACCAACCGAGGGGGAATGTTTTACATCATCTCAAATTCAGAGCATTTGTGGAATCTTTGGTGCTGTTTATCACTTGATTTTATCACTTGTTGGGCAAAAGCACTAAATGATTCCAAAGTCATTAGCGAAGTCAGAATTGCCAACAAAACAGCACCCAGAAAACCCAATGAAAGGCCATGATTGCAAGAGGATGGAGTCTTCACAAAATGTCCCTCACGCCTTTGGCGGGAAACATAGAAAGTGAACGTAAGTGAACCATTCCAATGAACCTATGTTTTCTCTAAAGGCCATGTGACGGTGAGAAATCTGTTCATCTATCTTTTGTTTAGCTGACTGCTGCTTGGGACTGTCAAGGCTCGCAGAACGAGCTCTAGGTACACCCAAGGATGCCCTACTCTGGCGGAACGTGTGAAACCTTCCCCATACTGTTGAACATTGTCATCATGCTGGATTGAATTTCTTGTTGCCCTCCTATACTTGTGAGAATTCGTGAGACATCCTTTGCCGCGTCACTCTGCGGCTGTGAAGTGCGCAGCCGTATTCTGGGACAGCTGGACTTGGGACTTACGAATAGATTGGCATTTCAGCAAATGGCCATTTTTTATCATTTTAACCGGTGAATTGAAATTTGTTGACCCAGCTTGGAAGCTTCCTAATTGCACTTTGGAACCCCAAGCAATGATCCGAACATATTCAAATAGCCACACCCAAAAGGAATGAGCCTCAGTCCAATAAGTCCGCCAGGGCCACCTACTGGATGATTTATGTCAGCGTTGGGCCGTTTGGCCATGGAAATTCTTGAACTTCACGTCGGTGATTTGGAACTCCGGGTCATTCTTTTCCTCACATGGCCAGACCCTGAAATGAACATGACTCCCACTTACAACATATTGAACATCAGACTAGGATCCAGATGGCGGAGGAGAGTGATGCGCAAACCAAGCCTACACATCCACAAACAGAATTGAGTCAAGAAGTCAGCGATGAGACGCGTCAAAGAATAAGGGATACGACTACGGCAGAATAACTTTGGACACTAGGCCACCAGGGGTGGTACAGTGGTACAGTGAATTATGTCAATTATGTCAGTGATTCTGTGCGCTATTCATCTGCCTGATTGTAATACCCCTGCAACATTCCTGTACAAAATCCTGAGGCCATTGGGATCCTCGGAGCACATCCTACCCGCTTGTGCACTTTGCCGAGTGGACTTTTTTGAGAGTTGGAAACAGAGCAACATCGAATAAACTCGTTGTAGCGGGACATAACTTACACCACAAGTCAAGTAAAGCAACCGCCACATGCCATGGCCACACAATCAGCCCCCGGGCAGCAGTCTGCATGCCTAGTTTCCTCTGGTACGCCCTTTTGCCGTGCCCGTACCTTTCGAATGTGTCTTTCCAATTGAGCTCGGTTCAAGGGATAGCCTTGGAGCAAAGTGGGCATGGGAGTTTTGGCAAGGACAGCCTCTGAGTCACGGGTCAAGAAAACATCAAATCGTCACGTTTGATGCAATCCCAGCGAAGTGAAATATATAGAGTTTTTATATGTTTTTATTCTACCATATTCATCCATATTATACCATATGTGCAGGGATGTTGGTATGGGCCGGCACCAAATAATGGACCAGCTATAGCTACAACCAATGCTGTTGGTTCTTGGATGTTCCATCCATCTCCAAGCAGCAAAAGGGTTCCATCTCCAAGGGGTCGCGCACCAGCGTGTTGTTCCAGCGATCGTTGTTCCTCCCACAGAGTCACTATGACCGTCCGAAAAACTTAGCAGGGCGAGTAAGCCCAATCCCAGGCAAACCACCAAGTATACCCATCAACCATGATGGATGATGGATGATGGATGAGGGTAGTTCTCTCTCTCTCTCTCTTTCCAGTATCATTGAGTCAAGTGCTTGGAGCCCAAGTGTCTTCGATATCCGTGCACTCATGGGCTTTGGACCAATTGGCTGGTTGACCCAACCACCCTCCTCGCAGCAAAGCAACCGGAGTGGCCAAACGTAACGTCACTGAGTGCCGCTAGTCTTATTTTAGTAACTTTATTACAATCATTTACAATCTATATATTGTCAGGTTGGCCCTCCAAATTTGAATCTGCGCCATCAAATCAAGGATCTCTAAAGAGCAAAACCTGGTGCCTTGCTGCACAATGCAATTGCCACCGTGTTCCCTGACTGCAAACATTATTATGTATCATTCAATATCACCAAAAATAAGCACCACCAACATCCTGAAACAAGGACATTGAACACTTAGCCCCTGAGCAACAAGGCAATCAAGAGCTCCAATCTTTTGAGGCGGGCGGCAATTTTCATGCGAACATGTGCGCCATGGACAGGTATGGTTCATGAATACCAATGACCGAAGAATCAAGCAAAGTGGACACCTGTCACTTGACTTGCTGGCGCTTCAAGGCATCTAGCCATCTACAGTAAAAAATGCATGAACAATCAACAGAATTCCCGGGGAAAAATGCTACCATGATCTGATGTGCACGGCCATGGGCATCGCATCCCATTGTCCTTGCCGAAGATGGGGAAGGCTTTCGCTCGGAGGGCGCAAAGCTCACGGTTCTCCTTGCAGAACTGGTGGATGTTTGGTTGACGGGCTGTTAGGAGTATGTGATGTTTGACCCTGTTTAGGTGTCGTGCTACTTCACCAACAATGACAAGAGAGAAAGATGCAACATTAGAAGGAAACCAAACTAATTCAGAGTTGTTGCTGCAATTTTCGAATACGACCAACTGATACCCCCAAAAAGAACCTGCGAGTCTAAACGCACCATCTGAAACACTGGCCACGTGTCCTCCATGCTGCCGACGTGCTCTGTGCGATATCGCCACATGTCCTTGAAGTTCAAGGTGGATTTGAAAATGTTGGCGAAATTTGATGACGCACTTGACTTTTTAACAGACACACCTGGGTAAAACGAGTGCAAGGAAAGTAAAAACCCATCAGCACTTCACTCGGACAAGCAAAGCGGGCAGGAAAAACACGCAATTAATTTTTGAAAGCAACATAAAGCAGCAAAGCACTGATCCTCAGGCTCAGATATCAGAAGCATAAGGTAGATACTTAGATACTTCTTAGATTGGCCACATACAGTCAAACCATCTACCAAAATCTTCAAAAATGTTAATTATCCAGGATGGTCTTTTTACATCGTAGCTGAGACCATCTGCCAAGATTGGTACAACGCTCTCTGGTCATGGCAATGGAACACCCGTTCTTCCAATTGGAAACCGATCTATGGATTCGGTATCTGCAGGCAAACTCACAAAATGGACGGATATTTGCACAATTAATTATATCTAATTACTAATTACTGTATATATATATAGTATATAATCTTATAGATACCCAAGTATATTATAGATATAACTTGATATTCCTGCAACGTATTTAAGGTCGGCCCAATTTTCCCAGTTACGCAGCGAACAGAGACTCCTCTTGCAGAAATTCCTCTCTTGGCTCGGCTAAGACGTTCATCACCATCACCTCCCAGGGCCATCGAAAGGATGGGCTTCGGCAGGCGTAACACATGTGAAAAATTGTGAAAACATGTTAAAACATCGAAGAAAGCCAAAGAAATCCGGAGAAAAATGATGAAACATACATGACATGAATCATAAATCCAATCTAGATGAACCCTGTAAACTGTCCATCATACCAATATATACCATGATGGTTCTTTCCTGGAGCCACCCTTTGACCTTCCGTGAGACGTCATGGGTCATCTTGATCCGTCCGCTGCAGGCAGCTTGCAGAGATGAGTTGTGCATCACCTCAAACTAGGATGACCATGTGCCCAGTGACCATTTCCGATAAAAATCACATGTGTATGTATGTATATATATATATGTATGTCATGCACATACGTTCAGATATATTTATGCACTTGCTTAAACATCTGGGTATATACAGTATATAAATATATGTATATGCATTCGTATAGATAGCAGCAAATGATAAATGTTTTTAGTTGTTTTTAGCATTTTTTTAGCGCCTGGGGTTTTACCGATCACTTACAAACATTGTGGTGTTTGAGATCCTTGCAGTGTCCCTTCTCCAGTCTGGAGCATATGAGTTGACCAAGAAACATTGACACGAAGAAACCAAGGGGGCATAGTTTCAAGACATGCCACACTCAAATCATTTCTTTCACACTATCCGGCAACAAATTAAAAAATAAACACACGACAACAGCAGTCAGAACAGAAAAACCACTCGCTATGCAAACTGTCACCGAACTTTGAACCCTATTGTTCTGCATCACATCAAGTCCTGCAACTGAGCAACATTCACATTCACTCCAGGGTAGTACCTTACAGCATTTCAGCCAGCTTCATGACGAAGTCTGGGCAAACGTGGGGTATGGATGGCTAAAAATCACAAGCAGTTCATTTGATCATGGTTCATCTAACGTCGAAGTCGGACTCTAAGAGCCTTGAAATGCCAGTTGCCTTGAAGCACACCACAAAGACAGCCTTGTTGGATATGGAACATCCTTCCGTCCTTACCTGCTCTAAAACCTTCCTTCCACATGTGGCACTGGAACACTACTGGAACCACAGCGCACGGCCAAGGTACTTGAAGTGCCTCTTGCGCGTGACGTGTGGGTTCTTCGCCAGGTACCGCCGTTGTTTGCAAATCACGCGGCCGATCTCCGTGTACTCACCAGGGAGGGCCTCGTGGCAAGGGTCTGAGTAAAGCCAGCGGACAGAACCAACCCTTCCACTCTCCAAGAACCAAACATGGGGAAAATAACAATATGTTTACAGTAATAGTAGATGATAGTAAACGTAATGTACAAGGAGAAATTAATGAACAGTTGTGGTACAAACTGAATTGCAAGATATCACCGTGCGAGGCTACCTAGAGTTCCCCGATTCAAATAGATGATGCACTGTTAATTGGTGCTGCAACTGATTCTGCCTTGGGATGCTTATTTCTGAACCCACAACTTGGTTTCTGGTGATGTCATGTTCTACTCACATCTTCCTTGGTCAATTCATGGCCCAAATTATCGCTTTCTACTGCCTTCTTAACCCTTCTGACATTGTGAGATCAACTTGCGCCCCCATCTTGAACCAACCATCTTTACACTTTTCGAGACCGTGTGCAGCCAAGCATTTGGTTTTGTCCAAAAATTGCGGGCACACCAAAAATTTTAAAAAATGATATTCAGGCAGGGAGCATGATAGTGGACCTCAATGGATTTCGGGCTACTTGCCTTTGCTGATAACTCTTAATGATTAAGCATCAAAAGCTTTAACCGAAGTTCAAGTTTGCTTTAACCGTTAAAGTTCTGTTCTGATCGTGGTTTTTACGTATTTTTACTGCCGTAAACATCCATCAGCCAACGACTTTGGGCTTTGACCCATCCCAGGGAGATCCAAAAAATGCACCTTGGGCCCAACGTGTGGCTTCTTGGGGATGCGTTGTCCGCAGGGCTTGGCGCGAGGTGGTTTCCAGTAGCCTCAAGGCCCCTGGGATACCCATGGCATCATGGGTGGCCCACGGGAAGTTCTCAAAAACTTGAAGATATTCTGTAATATCCTCTGGTAAACTACCATAGCTATGGAAAATCACCATTTTTAATGGGCACATCAACCATTTCTATGGCCATTTTCAATAGCTATGTTAAATTACCAGAAGGTATACTGTAATACCAGAATATGGGTAGAACTGAATATGAATTTAGCCTATTGACGGCTTTTGTTTGAGCATATTTGCATCATGATTTAGCCCTAGTATTGGCACCTGGTGGAGGTACCTATATACAATCTTATACAAGAAACTATATATTTATGTTTATGTTGATGCTAGCTAGATCAGTTCTCACTTTATCGCCACATGAGGGCCTCCCCCCTCCAGACCAAAAACATATCACCCTCCAGACCAAAAACATATCAGAATTACGTATCAGAACATGAGCATCATGAGGATTATTTCCTGTGATGCAGTGGTCGTGGGTTGCAAATTTCATTACAACAACTGTAAATCCGGGACGGTGGAATTCATGGAGCCAAGATTTTCTCTCTCGAACTATCCAGCTGTATCCGAGCTGTATAGCCATAGCCATGAAGCTTTGCACCTTCACCTGCTTCCATCGCACCGCTCCCAACGGCCACGCCGTTGGCACCGCTACGACGGGTGCCGCTGCGCGAGCTAGAGGCGCCGGCGCGACCGGGCACAGCCCCGGCCGCACGGTGGAGCGGAGGGAGGTGGAACCCCAACGACGCAGCGCGCTGAGCATGGCGAAGGGCTGGGAAAAAATGATTTTGGTGGAAAACCGTGTTTATTAGAGATAGCTAGAGTTTAGAGGTTGAATAGGTTTAGATAAACCGTTGCTTATTTGTTTATGATTGTTTATTGCTTCAATCATCTCAGTCCTCTCATCCCTGTTCTCGGCCGTTTTTGACTGACTCTATCTGCGATTTGGTGGGATTTTTAGGAAGAAAAATGTGAATTTGGGAACTCCCTTCAAGGCTCAACTGGCATTGCCTGCGAACCGCGAACCCAAAGCGGCCAGCGAGCCCGGATGAGATTAGTCTGACAAAGTGCTGGCAACAAGGACAGAAACAAGTTTCACTGAATCCTGATACAAATTGAATTTAGTATAATTTAGTAACAGGATGCTTTGTCCGAACCCCTGACACCAAAATGACATTAAAAGGATTTAAAATGACTATAGGAAATAATTAGATAAAAAGATCGCAGTTTCCAACCATTTCCCAAGATCGAAGATCATTCCTACCTCCAAATATTCTGGTTCCTGGTGACATTTATCCATGGTGAAACCTGGAAGCACCGCTCCCAGCCGCAAGGTCCCTGTTGACAAGTGGCAATTTAGAACCCTTGGGCCGAGAAGCGGCCTGGCTGTGGCAGAGGTTTCATTCTGTAGGAAGCCCGCAAAGTGCCAAAAGGACATGACAAATGCATCTAGTGTAGCGTGCATAGTGACACAGAGAGCAACGGCTGGAAATCACATGAGCAAACTTGCATGTGTATTTGCAAGGTCTAATCTTATGTATTGCAGTAACAGGCTTCGACTGGAAAATGCTACAATAATAAACTTACAAAATAAAAGTAAAGAAAGTAAACCGGCCAAGAAAAAAATGCAAAAAACAAGTGCAATGGAAAGTGATGATTTGGAAAAAGCAAGAAACACAGTAACTTTGGCATGGGAAAAAACAACGCCAATAATATTGTAAAAAGAGAAAAATACGCCAACCCAAAGAAAACAAAACACAATGAAATAAAATACACGAAGAAAAACACACAACCAGAAATACAACAAATAGAATCAGAATAACAACAAAAAATAAGCCAAAGGAGAAAAACAAACAAAAGAACATTTCCGGACGGAGCCTGCAAAAAAAAACATAAGTCTAATCATGCCTTCAATTTTTCCCGAGCAGAACCAGAACATGCTTAGTATGATCATCCTGCTGAGCAAGCCCCCCAACTGGGATAATTTTTCTCAACCAGGCTTCTTCACCAGATATATCCCCCTGGAAGATGAACAAGTATGGACTATGAACATCCTGCTCCTTTTTTCCCATTTTTCCCTGAGTTTCCGCACCAGAATCTCTTGGAATTTTGCCCTAGCAGCCGACACATTCCCGTGCTCCGCTGCTGCATTGACGGCCTCTCTGGATGGGATCTCGTGAAGTCCAGGAAAACCATCAGAAAAACGAGAGAAAAACTGCAAAATGTTGATGACACGAGGATCTTCAAGTGAGAATCGAACTGCCAGGCCCCAGCTCCCAGATGTCCCAGCTCTTAGTGCATCTTAGTGCAACACCAAGGTCCCTTGCCCAGAAAGCGCTAGCCTGCAGCCCATCACGACCTCAAGTGTGAGATTTGCATACATAGGGCGGCCATGTCTGACAAGTGCTCAACTTACTCCCAGCCCTTGCACTACCATACTACCATACCCTTGAACATGATTTTTTCCTAGTTTCCATAGGAATGAACCCATTACAACCCGCCAGTGGTAGAAATAAAGGATTCGCTAAACTCTGCAGCAATTCGAAAACATAACCTGCAGTGCAGGGGCAAAGGGGGCCGAAGCGTGGGTTTCCGACGTTGCGCTGTGACGCTCCCGGGGGCGGGTGGCGCTGCGACGCTGCGACGCTGCGACGCTCCGGGGGGCGGGTGGCGCTGCGACGCTGCGACGCTGCGACGCTGCGACGCTGCCGTTGGGCCAGTGACGCTGCGACGCTGTTGGCGCTGCGACGCTGCGACGCTGGAGTGACGCTGCGACGCTGTTGGCGCTGCGACGCTGCGACGCGGGAGCGACGCTGCGACGCTGTTGGCGCTGCGACGCTGCGACGCTGCGACGCGGGAGCGACGCTGCGACGCTGTTGGCGCTGCGACGCTGCGACGCTGCGACGCGGGGAGCGACGCTGCGACGCTGTTGGCGCTGCGACGCTGCGACGCTGCGTCGCGGGGAGCGACGCTGCGACGCTGTTGGCGCTGCGACGCTTCCTTCTGCAAGAGTGCACACGGCGTTGCGTCGCTGCGCGACACGGAAACCCCCATTGAAGATCGTCAGTGAATGTAGAAGTTTAACGGGGCTGGGGAGAATTAAACCCTCATTGAAGATCGTCAGTGAATGTAGAAGTTTAACGGGGCTGGGGATAATTAAACCCTCATTGAAGATCGTCCATGAATGTAGAAGTTTAACGGGGCTGGGAGAATTAAACTCTCATTGAAGATCGTCAATGAATGTAGAAGTTTAACGGGGCTCGGGAGAATTAAACCCTCATTGAAGATCGTCCATGAATGTAGGAGTTTAACGGGGGTGGGGAGAATTAAACTCTCATTGAAGATCGTCAATGAATGTAGAAGTTTAACGGGGCTCGGGAGAACTAAACCCTCATTGCAGATCGTCCATGAATGTAGAAGTTTAACGGGGCTGGGAGAATTAAACCCTCATTGAAGATCGTCCATGAATGTAGAAGTTTAACGGGGCTGGGAGAATTAAACCCTCATTGAAGATCGTCCATGAATGTAGAAGTTTAACGGGGCTGGGAGAATTAAACCCTCATTGAAGATCTTCGATGAATGTAGAAGTTTAACGGGGCTGGGAGAATTAAACCCTCATTGAAGATCGTCCATGAATGTAGAAGTTTAACGAAGCTGGGAGAATTAAACCCTCATTGAAGATCTTCGATGAATGTAGAAGTTTAACGGGGCTGGGAGAATTAAACCCTCATTGAAGATCGTCCATGAATGTAGAAGTTTAACGGGGCTGGTAGAATTAAACCCTCATTGAAGATCGTCAATGAATGTAGATTTAACCGGGCTGGGAGAATTAAACCCTCATTGAAGATCTTCGATGAATGTAGAAGTTTAACGGGGCTGGGAGAGTTAAACCCTCATTGAAGATCTTCGATGAATGTAGAAGTTTAACGGGGCTGGGAGAATTAAACCCTCATTGAAGATCGTCAATGAATGTAGAAGTTTAACGGGGCTGGGGAGAATTAAACCCTCATTGAAGATCATTGAAGATCGTCCATGAATGTAGAAGTTTAACGGGGCTGGGAGAATTAAACCCCCATTGAAGATCTTCAATGAATGTAGAAGTTTAACGGGGCTGGGGAGAATTAAAACCTCATTGAAGATCGTCAATGAATGTAGAAGTCTAACGGGGCTGGGGAGAATTAAAACCTCATTGAAGATCGTCCATGAATGTAGAAGTTTAACGGGGCTGGGAGAATTAAACGCTCATTGAAGATCGTCAATGAAGGTAGAAGTTTAACGAGGCTGGGAGAATTAAACCCTCATTGAAGATCGTCAATGAAGGTAGAAGTTTAACGGGGCTGGGAGAATTAAAACCCTCATTGAAGATCTTCGAAGAATGTAGAAGTTTGAAGGGGCTGGGAGAATTAAACCCTCATTGAAGATCTTCAATGAATGTAGAAGTTTAACGGGGCGAGGTAGTGTTCAGAGGGGGTCGCTGGCTTGATCTTCGAAGATGCAACATATATTCAAAGGGGGTGGCGGGGCTGATGTCTCAAGGTGCAACGTATTGTTCAGAGGGGGTTGGGGAGTTGATGTCTTGTGATGGTGAAGATGCAACATAGTGTTCAGAGGGGGTGCCAGGGCTACTGTCTCAGCTTGTCCGG